AATGCAAGTGAATTAAGGGCACAAGTAAATCACACATTTTTCGTAAAATATTCATATGTCTAACGCAAATTGCAATATTTAATTAAAAGTACCTCAGAATTTGTTTTTATGTGCTCCGCCATTTTAAACATCACGTGACAAGGGGATTTCCAATTGGAGCAATACATCGGGACCCAATTGCCTAGGTGAGTGACGTGGCGCGTGCAACGAAATCTCTTCCACGTCCGCCATTTTGCACTGGAAATTTTGGTAAGTAAACAAATAAACCTAGTTTTCTCTGTAGTTAGATCACACAGTTCTTATATCTTCGAGGAGGTAAGACGGTTTTTGTTATAGGTAACAACGAACACAGTCTTGATCGTGTAATTTCTCTACTTTTATATCAAAATTGAATATTATATGAATTTCCGGCATCAATTTTGAGGGCGTTTTAACTTTTTCATTTGAGTAGATCTCTAGTCTATGACTTACGCTGTCACTTAGGATGGCTATTGTTTTATTCACTCACCGCATCACTGATTCGGAAATGTTTCGGATTTCGAAGAATATATGGATCTGAGTAACAATTTCCTATCTCGAAGTTACTGAGTACAGTATGAAAACCAAATTTCATTCATTTGTCAAGTGATTTTTCAAATTTTAACTTCCTGTTGGATTTTCCTTCCTGCTTCCACTTTTACTTTAGCAAATACTGTCTCAGGTTTTGATGAATTTCATTGTTAAGTCAATTGATTGAATGCAATAATGTCTGTTTATACAGTGCTCACCATAAAGAATTACAAAAGCTATGGAAATTACATGTTGTCGCACATGTAATAAATTCTTACCTTGCTCTATTTTCTCCGTCCTAGTAAGTCCAGATATAGTGGAATTTGTGTCCATAATGACAAATAAGAACTTAAACATTTGAAGTGAAATTCACATGTTGGAGCCGGATTATGCGGCAATGTGGATTGGCTCCCAGAATGCAACATGACACGTGTCAGCTTTCAAAATGCCGTTCCGCCATTTTGAAATCTGTCATGAAAACATTTGTTCGATTTGGTAGGGATTTATCCATCATTTGCAGGTATGAAGCTTTGGATTCATTTATTGTGCTACTTAAAGTCAATGGGAATTATTTTTCTACCGCTTGGGAGAGTTTGAGACACGAAACTTAGAATTTAGCTCATTGTGACAACTTTGAGGGTTGAGATTTATTTTTGCTCCCTACTTTATCTTTCTTGTTTCAAAATGTCAATCATCAACTTTGGGAATTATTTTCAATTACGATTACAAGTTTCTTCCATAGTTAATGTGGATTTTGATGCATTAGAGTCCATTTCACTGCTTCATTGCGTCAGTAGAACGGCAAAAATAAGAAATTGGGAGACCATTGTGCAATAATATATGGAAGAAAAGTATATTCATAATGTACATGAATGATATTTCTGTGCTTTCATTAATGCCGTCCCATAATGGAGAGGACCCGGTTTTTACTATAGGGGTCACTTGGTCACTAGTTGATTTCTGAGCGGTAATCGGTACAAGTCATATGATTGGCTGCAATTATTAATCGCGCATGCATGAATAAAACATGAATAATGCGATCATCAGCTTACTTTTGGTCTCTAACTGTGTCTTACAATGCTGATACAAATTAATTGATTAGAGTCCATTTCACTGTTTAACTGATTGAAAGGTAACAGTTAAGTTACTCAAAAGTACAAAAAATGGCAGCCACATTTTTGATAAAGACACATGGTTTTAAATATGTTTCTTTTGAATATAAATGTATATCTTGACTAAAGAGACATGTCAAAGTGAACATCACACATAAACATATTTTTCATAACTATGAATTGGAGGTGCATGGGTGCCTAAAGCTAGCATGAAGACTGTAAAGTGAGGCTAATTTTTGAAGGTTTCAAGGAGTAGCCTTACAAATGTCACACATTTGCAAGAATCCAAAGTTTCCACAAATCATCTTACCTTACCAAGGAACATCGAAGGAGCATGAAAACGTGCACTTCTTGCATTGTTAGAGTATGATAAAGCTCAAACCATAGTTTCTTATAAATATTTCATGTCCACCATTATGTTTGCCAGATAACAAGTTCTGACAGTTTATTTACCAAATGAACCGTTTCGGTAACCAGCGTTATCATGCGGATCACCAGTGCATAGAAAAATACATTTATCCCACCGAACGAAGTTCGAGGGGGATATAGAAAAGCAGTTCGTCCGTCCATCCATTCGTGTGTCTAGGCAATAACTCAAATACCGGTTAACGGATTTCATTCAAATTTTATAGGCTTATGCCTTATGGGTGTAGGACCTCTGCTTGAGAAGGAATTTTCAATATGGCCACTAAATTAAAAATGGCGGCCATTTTTCGGAAAAAATATAATCTTTGATTACTCAAATAATAGTGGATGGATTTGGTTCATATTTTATATGCTGTTGCCCAGGTACAAAGGAGCCTTGCTGAAGAAGACATTTTCAAGATGGCCACTGAATTTCAAAATGTCCGCCATTTTTTCTGGAAAAAAACATAATCATTGATAACTCAAATACCAGTGGATGGGTTTGGTTCCAATTTTATATCCTCCTGATGTTTAGGGAAATAGGAGATCTGCTTCAGAAGAAATTTCAAAGGCAACAGCTGAATTTCAAAATGGCTGCCATTTTTCATAAAAAGGTAATCTTTGATAACTCAAATATCATTGGACGGATTTACTTCAAATTTTATATACTGATGCCTATTTTTCAAGGTGGCTGCTATTTATCGAAATCTCCACAATTTTTCATTAAACATGTAATCCTTGATAACTGAAGTACCAGTTGACGGATTTGGATTAAATTGTATATGCTCAAGCCTCGAAACTCGCGTTGCTATGGTAGTTAATAACTACCTGATTTTAAAGAAAAGCTACCTATTATTTTACCCAGTAGTTATTTTGGCCACCAACACTCTTAGATTGAGCCAAGTATTGCATGATTTGAAGCAATTTTTAACAATTTTGCAAAGGGTTACTCAGATACACTTGCACTTTACATAGTACTTATATGAGAATACCCCTGGCCCTGTACATGTATAAATCAATTTTATCCTTCACTTGTTTTAAGGAAAGGAAAATACCCCAGAATTCATAGATGCACACTTCTCTGACGTAAACTAGATCATTGATTGGCCAAGGGGGGTTCATCTGGGGTTATGGGAAAGTACCTCTTCTTTGTCTTAGCGTGAGAAAATCTGATCAGTGAAAATGAAATTCAAATCTGTCAATCAACTCATAAACAAAACCTCCCAGCTCTGACGTTTGACCAATCAGAAAGCATTTAAATGTAAACAACCTAGTATGTAGTAGTAGTATGAAGTGTGCCCAGAGTCAGCCAACAACCAATCAAATCATGTATATTGCTGTCATACTAAAACAATGCTTTACAGCTAATTATAAATAATACCGATCTCAAAGATGGAATGTAAACTTCAAATTATAAAAACTTGAAATCCCTATGATGTTTTATTGGATCTATCTTCCCAATTAAATGTGCATTTAGAAGTCAGTAGTAGCATCAAGCCATCAAGTCCTATGCTTACTATAATCTAGGGATTACTGAACACATTTGGCTCAAATCTGCCAGGTCGGAAGAGTTATATAGGGATCTGAATCATTCCATTTGTGTCCAGTGGCAATTTGTACCTTAGGGAAACCCCTGGTCAGGGGGGGTTTCACTAGAATAGTGAAAATAATGAAAACAACAGGCAAAATCAATGGAAATCATTTATTAAACATGGAAAATTTGAAATGCCCCTGAAAAACAACAGCAGATTTTGTGAAAACAACATGAAAATCGCCTGTTGCTAATGAAACCCTTGGAATGAAATACATGTAGGTACACCAGGGCACGCCTTAAGAGTCGGACAGCTGGTCATTATCTGGTTACTTTTGATACTGACCAGTTGATTTTTTCACTAGGTATAGGAAAATAACATTGCAACTGGTCAGTAATGCCTTTTTGACCAGCAGCTCTGGAATCCTTAGGGCATACACTGAGGTACACCCCCTCCAAAAAGTCTGTAAACAATTGCAATCTAGTTTCAGTCCCCTCCAACATAATATACTGTATAATGGTTATATGCGCACTCCCCTCCAAAAGTTTTTTAGAACAATTTTAATAGGTAAATTCTCCTCCCAAAAGTTTTGAAACAATTGTATTAGGAATACTACCCTATAAAAGTATGGAAACAGTTATAAAGGAACACTCCCCTAAAAAGTTTGGAAAGAAATGTAGTAGGTGCACTCCCTTTCAAAATTTTTAAACAATTGCAATAGGCACAGTCTCTTCCAACATAATACGATGTATAACTGCTATAGGTGCACTACCCTCCAATAGCTTTTAAACTCTCCAAATTTTTGGATATTGGAATGTTGGAAGTTATGCATTAATTTGAGAAAATTTCAATGCAGTGAGTCAAATTTTTCATAAATGTGCACATCGGTGCATTATTAGCCTACATTGGCACAAGATAAACATTATATGCTGGGTATATGTTATTTTTGAAATTTTATAACATCATTTTATATACAACTACCTGACAGAAGCAAATAACTACCTGAAAATTGGACAGGTAGTTATTTTGGCACCAGGCAAAAAATGTGAGTTTCGAGGCCTGATGCTGATGCCTTGGGACCTCGGAGCTCTGCTAAAGAAGAAATCTAAAGATGACAGCTGAATTTCAAAATGGAAACCATATATCATAAAAACACAATCTTTGATAATTCAAATACTAGTGGATGGATTTGGCTCAAATTTTATATGGCCGCTATTTACCAAAACATGTTTTGTTCGGTGGGATTTGCTACTCCGTGGAGTTGCTGTTTTTCTAGTTAAATGTATATCTGGTTTGCTTCTCATTCATTTTGCAATACATTATCATATTATTTTTTTTTTCAGATATATTGGATAATTTATTTATTATAAATCATGGGAGGAGCATTTGGCAGCCTCTTTAAGTCCTTGTTTGGAAAGAAAGAAATGAGAATTCTCATGGTCGGGTTGGATGCAGCTGGTAAAACTACAATCTTATACAAATTGAAATTAGGAGAAATCGTCACAACTATTCCAACTATTGGTAAGTGTGTTATTGATTCAATTTTACACTCCTGTTGTTTATTATGTCTTGGTGGTGACATGTTTATGATCTCCACTTTTTGACAGCGGTTTGTGATCGGCGGTTAGCAATCGGCGTCTTTAAAAATTCTTACAACTTCCATTAACGTAATACTTCCATTAACGTAAAAAAGACTGTTTACAGGGGTCCAGATAAGCTGAAAAAATTATTAGCCAATGTGGCTAATATCTTCAAAAAAATATTAGCCACTCTAAATTAGTTTAGTTTAGTTAGTTTTCTAATTAGTTTTTAGGCATTCTTGGTAAATGTTAAGGTGGCCATTTTGGATTTTTCATCCTAAAATCGTGTCTGTGAAGGCTTGTTTTCAAAATCATCTTCAAGTTATCAGAAGTTCAAATCTGACCAGATTTGAGATTTGACCTTCAATAACCTTCTCAAGGTAAAAAAAGATCAAAAGTTCTTTTCAACTTGCTTCTAATTTACCAAATTCTTTTCAAATTCATCTACAAGTTCTCAATACTGTAGATTGGGTTAATTTGGCGCTACTTAATTTGGCGATTTTGTCATTTTTGGCATATTGGCGGCTATTTAATTTGGCGGATATATGCAAAAAAATGTTAATGGAATGTTAAACTTAAGCGCTGTTTGCAAATTACCATGTAAATGGGCATGTTTGGCTATGTTCATTTTTCTTTTGAGGACCACTGGCGATATTCACCACATTTGTACTTTTTTTGTGAGATCATCCTTTACATTTTGCTCCTTGATCGATGCTGCTACTATACTGCGCTTTTCCGTTCTAGTTTTTCTCTGAGTATTAATGAGTGACTGACCAGTTCTGAGCAAATTTATGAGAGACATTTTTCATATTTTTGGAAAAAACTTAACCGAAAGTGACCTAAATACACTGGGCGAAATACCCTAGATTATTCCCGGGGATTCATTCTAAATTTTGGCGAAGATTTATATTGGCGAATTTTTCAATATTGCCAAATTCGCCAAATTAAAGCGGGCGCCAAATTTACCCAATCTACAGTAGTTCAAATCTGACTATAAATTGGACCTTCAATGACATTCTCAAGGTCAAAGAGGTATTTTTTCAACTTACTTCAAATTGACCAATTCATTTTTTGAAATTCATGTACAAGTTCTCAGAAATTCAAATCTGACTTAAGATTGAACTCATAATATTGTGAGCAACGAGGTTGTGACATTTTGTCATGTTAATGCCTTGTTGAATAATTGAATTGAAGTCACTTTAAAGAGAGAATCAGATATGGCGAGAAGGCCTAACAAAAAATTGTTTCACTTTTAGAATATTTCTGGCTCATGTCATTCCTTGTCATGTCTATTTTCTGAAAATCCCCAAAGTGCACACTTAATTTCAGGTAAACTTAACAGTTAAGATTTTTACAATAATGTGTTATTTTTCTATAAGAATGGTAACCATTCTTATTATTTGGGAGAATTTAAACATTTTTTACCTATTTCTGCACTTTGAATCCATGATAATTTTACCAATTTATAATATATCGTGAATCTTTTCGGAGATATTGTAATTGAGATTGTAAGGAATAGATTGGTGGGTCAATCGTACATGTTGCTTGTAATTTTGTCACCCCTGTATATCTGATTCTGCCTTTAAGTAGAAACAAGGGTTTGATTAGTCAAGCTTGTAATTATAATTAATTTTTCATGTGTAGGGATAATATAAACACACATGTGGTAATTACTTAATTTCATTCATATGTTAACTAATGGCACTTGCCCATTTGAGATACTTCACATTATTAAGTTCACAATACTGCACAGGGGTTAAATTAGCAGCAGGCAACAGGCAATTTTCTCCGGTTGTTTTCACAAAATCATCTGTTGTTTTTTATTAGGGATTATTCAACTTTTCCATGTTAAATTTATGATTTCCATTAATTTAGCCTGGTGTTTTTTTATTTAAAGCTTGTTGTGGGAAATTCTAGTGAAACCCCTGCTGCATCATTTCATCAATCGTTTCATTTTATCATATTTATTTGCAGGTTTTAATGTAGAAACAGTAGAATACAAAAACATAAGTTTCACAGTTTGGGATGTTGGTGGCCAGGACAAGATCAGACCTCTATGGAGGCATTACTTCCAAAACACTCAAGGTATGTTCATACAAATAGACACATAGTTTTAAACCATTCATGATCCTAATGAATGTGATCAAACCTGTGAAATAAGCAGGGGGCCAGTGGACATGGGTTCCTCCACTGTTTTTTTGTGAAGTAATGGTAGAGTTTCAGCTTCACATGTTTTTAGTTTTTGCCCTATTAATTTTAAGCAGGAGCAATCTGCACCATGAATACTTTTCTTGGTTCAATTCTACTGTATGTTTAAAAACGGATGGACTTTATTTACTAGATTTTAATTTATTCATAAGTTCATGTTCTTACTCCCAGGATAATAATAAGTACAACACCATTCATGCATATATGTCTTTTACTGAAATGTGTGTTCTCTAAATTTTTGAACAAAATGTGGGAAGGTTTGGTTCATTTACATATCATCAGGAGTGAATCATGTTGGAGCGCATTGCTTCAAGATGGCCCTGTTTTGAAATGTTTTACTTCCAGTTTCTGTTTTATGTCTAATGCATCCGGCTTGTATATTTAGGTTTGGTCAGTGTTTTTATTGTTCTTAAAGAATTTCATAGATTAAAATAGTTTAGTAACTATGATAAGAGTGATTTGTTTTAACATATCTTGACATATTTCTTTATATTTATATCAATCCTTATCAATTGAGGGACTGTATCAATATGTCAAAAGTTTTTTGTTTCTATGAAGGAAGCACCGTAATTTTTTTGATTATTTGACCCCTGTTTGTTTGGTTTGATACATTGAAATTAAAGATGTGCTGTCAGTGAGCAGGGTCAATTTTGTACCCAATTTTCTCAAAATCATTTTATGTCAATTATGAGGTTGACAATTACCAAAGTTGCTAATTGGCTTGTAACTTGTAAAACAGTGTGGAGAGGAATTCATTTATTATTTTCAGAGCATTTATTAGTTAGAAAGTCCACATTATAAATTAATTTCTACTGCTTTGAAAGAGGGGGAATACCCCAGAATTCATTGATGAACCTATCTTGATATATAGAGATGAGTTGGATGAATCTGAGGTTTATGTTTATATGGATAAATTCATCTATGAATGCTGGTAAAATTCCTCCTCTTCTGCTTCTATGCACAGGTGTGACATTAAAAATGTAAGAATCCTGAGTTTGGTCCATATTGCGTGAGCAGTGATCTCCCCAGGATATTTTCTAAACCGGGTGCAGAATCATTTATCAATTCAGTGTTTTTGTCTCAAGGAATATCTTTCGATTCTGAATCACTTCAAAATATTTTTTTGACTTTACAATGGTTTGTTTCTTGTCTATTTAATTGTCTTGTTTGAATTGCAATTTCCATGTTGTTGACCTCTGTCATGACAACATATTGAAAATTTCCATGTTGTTGACCACTGTCATGACAACATATTGAAAATTCACAGGGAAGTTACAAACATAGTTGTAGTGATAAACAAAGCCAGGAAATGTAATACTAGCCATTACACACAGTTCACAACTAGTTACTTTGACGGAACAAAATGGATGAACTTCCTGGATACAAATTTTTTGTTTCCTCGATTTGAAATTACGTATAAGTCATGTTGTGGATTATCATTTGGCACAAAGTTAGACAATATAGTCTAGCTTTTAGAAATGCCCTTGGCTTGGAAATTGATTTTAAAATAAAGCTGTAGTTCATGCATTTAGACCATCGCTTTTGTAAATCGTCAAAGTAACATACATTTGTAAGATAATGGACTTTCGTCAATGTAACAAAAGTGAGGGGCTAAATATATGAATTGCAACTTCATTTACAAAACAAATTTCAAATTGAAGAAACTTATTAAAACTAGACTATATTTTCTAGCTTTGTGTCAAATTATAATCTTCAACTTGACTTATAAGTAGGTTTAAATCAAACAAAAAACTCGTAACCAGGAAGTTCATCCATTTTTGTTATATTGACTTTCCGTCAAAGTAAATAGTTTTGGAACAGTGATTACAAAGTGACCATGAATAATCTAATCCAAATTTCTAATTATGTTCTAACCAATAACAACTTTCAGATTCCACTTCAAGCTACCAGTTATCTTGAAATATATTTTTCACAGTATTTTTTCAAATACTGATTTTTGGCTACCGAGTACACTTTGGATATGCTTCCTCTGAAAGGTACGTAGTTTTTTTATTATATTCTTTTACTGTATTTTGATTAATGGTTTTGAGCAGAATAAGTTAGCTTTATGTGAGGTAGAGGTCAATTTTTAAGTTAAGATTTTTTCTCAACAGGGTGGAGTTTTCAAATAGGTGGAAGGTGTCACGGTGTCACCATGAAGGATCAGCAGGGCACAATACTACCTTGTCTTGTGAAACATTCTGGGGAGATCACTAATCTATTACACTACTCAATCCTTTTTAACAACTCAAAGAACTAAGAAAATCTTGAAAAAACTGTCTTGAATATCTTTTGTTTCATAAAACAAGAATTAAACAATTGTACCTTTGTTGCTTTAGTGACATAAACATGTATAAGTAAGCCCATACCCCATCCTTTATGTAAGTGCTTAAAGTTATCACTGATATAAAGATATGCCACCTTACATCAAGCTAACCTTTTTGCTCCACTTAGAATCATAACATTGTTTTTTTGACAAAATTTCTAATATGTGAATAATATAGTTCTGCTTAGAATCTTGTATTGAACTGATGTCAGTTCTCTTGTTTGTATGTTCTTGGAAATGTAAAAAAAACTTAAAGTTATCCTTAAAGATGCAATATCACCCCTTTGAGGCAATTCCAATTTCATACGGTCTCTGCTTGAAAATGTTAATATTCAGATGAACAATTATAATATTAAAAAAGAATCAGTCACACAATTGCTAATACCAATTGGAATATCTTCTCAACCAGTTCTTTCTTCCAGTTTTCGAAAGTTTGATAGGGATATAGTAAACCCCATCTGTCCATCGGGCAGTTTTCAATTTTTTTTCCATTTGAGTCCTTTTCGTTTGCAATTTTTCTTAGTCTTTGCATAGAAACCTCCAGAATTCTTTTTAATAAACTTTGATTTCTCCTGCTTTGAATACCCTGTTTCTTTTTTTGTTTTAACAAATCTGCTTTCTCCATTTCGTGTAAATCTCCTTGAGTCTCATTGATGATTACTTCAAAATCAACAATTTTTGTTAACAAGAACTTAACAATGTTTTTGTTAGCAGTGTGTCGATTGTAATTCCATTCAAATTGCCTCATGGGTGACATTTATACAACTCTTAGATTATTTCCTACTGTAATCTTTTGTGCATGATTTTACATGGGTAGTGACTTTGTGTGTGTGTTTTCAGGTTTAATATTTGTGGTGGACAGCAATGACAAGGAGAGGATAGGAGAAGCTAAGGATGAACTTTTGAGGATGCTAGCTGAAGATGAACTTAGAGATGCCGTGTTACTGGTCTTTGCTAATAAACAGGTAATTTGAGTATTTTTTTTACTGTTATAACTTTAAAGTATGCCTCAGACCCCAGTCCATATTTTCCTTTGAGCATTTGGAACTTATACCTAATAATTTTAAATACATTTAAAAACATGTCATTAAAGGATGATTGTTTTCCTTTCAGGATTTACCTAATGCTATGAATGCTGCCGATATAACTGACAAGTTAGGCCTGCACCAACTAAGGAACCGTCAATGGTACATTCAGGCCACATGTGCCACTAGTGGAGATGGATTATATGAAGGACTAGACTGGTTGTCAAATACTTTGAAACATAGCAAAAACTAATGATTTAAGAAATCGGTACTTGGAATACCAAGTTTGATATATCCAGTACAAATTCAATTACTTAAAATTTGAAGGATAAAAGTTGCGTGTAGTGAGATATTTTATTATTTTTATTTATGAAACTTAATTATGGACTGTGGATCTACACTGATAAACATCTGCCAAATGACAACACAAAGGTCAATGGTGCAAAGACCACATTCACCAGTTCCAGATAGGGCCCAATAAAGTTCTTGATTTTTTTTATAAAATTGTTTAGCTTTAAGATGTAAAATATTTGCAATTATTAGCTTATATTTCATGTGAAATACATTAAAATGGCCTGTTGAAATAATACAGCAATTTTGCTTCACTGGCTTTCCAGCTAACTAAGCTGGAGGTATAAACTTTATATTGCCAAATAATTAACTATTGAGCAAGTCATTGTATATAACATGTATGGTTGTATGGTTTATCTAAAACTAGTGTACCTAAAATGTACGTTATTCACTTGAACAAAAAAGTGCCACTTGATTGATGAATCCATATTTATTACACTGTTGTATCCAGTTCAGAAGATGTTTTGTTGCAATATTAAATTTCTTTGATAAGTGCCATCTAATGTGCCATACACTCTGCATTTTCTTATAATTTGCAACATGAAGAATTGTATATAAGCTTATAGCCTAACTCGGTTGTACAAATATTTTATAAAAAAATGAATTAAATCTCAAAGATTACTTTGTTACACTGTAGCATATGTATCTGTTATAACTTTGAGGATATTATATAAATCCATTGAAGATACTTATATGTAAAAATAAAATGTGTTGTATGCTTGAGTTAATAACCAGTTCTTGTTTTCTTTTTATTCTTGAATATGTTCAGTTAATCCAGTTTTCTGATCTAAATCTCAATAAAGTCTTAAGTGTCTTGAGGAATAATTTAGTTGGGCCTAAATGCTAACATAAATGCTCTCATTTCCACATTTATGGATTAGAGTTTTAGTTTGGACAATGGACACTTCATTTGTCTGAAAAGGGTTGATCGACAGATAAGAAGGCAATTCCAAAAGATAGAAATGCGATACTTAGACAACAAGAAATTTTTTATTAAAATGAAGCATAAGTAGGAGCTGGTTTGCATCACTGCATTTTAAATATTCTTACTAATTTACTTATGTACAAAGAAGTATCAAAAGTAAAAATATCTGATATTTTCATGTTCTGAAATTTCAACTGGCTGCATAACTGATTATTAAGAAATTCTAAATTATTATTCCAGCCTTCCTTAATCCTTATGCAAATCATGTGCCAATGATTTAACTTAATTATTGAATATTATCTGCTTTCAGGTTTAATCTTTGTGGTAGACAGCAATGACAGGGAGAGAGTGAATGAAGCTAAGGAGGAACTTAACAGGATGTTAAATGAAGATGAACTAAGAGATGCTGTATTACTAGTCTTTGCTAATAAACAGGTAACTAGAATGATAGAAAATGAGTTGAAAGTTCAAAAATAGAAGTATGATGAATATTTTCTTTGAGCCCTTACAAATTCCCAGTCTAATTCCCATCACAGCTGACTATGTGGGAAGGGACTATTTGGGCTCTGCTGCATAAGGTTTTCCGTTTGAGTCTGCAGTATGCTAACTGGAATTTGAATTAATCTTTGAATGTTATTTCAATTTACTGTTGTTTTATAAAAAGAAAATTTTAATTCTCACCTTCAAATGCAGTCTTTCATACTGATTTCAGTCTCCATTGTAAGGAATTTGAATGGGATGAACAAATTATTATCCCATCGAACGAAGTTCGGAGGGATATAGGGAACGCCTCCGTCCGTACGTCTGTACGTACGTCCGTCCGTCTGTCCGTCCGTCCGTCCGTCCGGGCAATAACTCAAATACCGTTGGCCCGATTTTGTTCATATTTTGTACACATATACCCAATGGGGGTAGAAGTTCTGCTCGAAAACCGATTTTCAAAATGGCCGCTCATTTAAAAATGGTGGCCATTTTAGTGCCGATTTTACAGTTATTTAGGTACTGCATATAAAACTGTAACAGCAATATGTTTTAAATGTAAAAAGTTATATAGGACATTGATTAAGCTAGAAATGTAAATATAGAAGAAATACATGGCAGCCATCTTGAAAAATGGCTGCCTTTGCACGTCATTTTTCGATTTTTGCTGTAACTTGAAAAGTAGTCGAGCGATTTTGTTCATATTTGGTATGTGAATACTTTAAGCATGGCACAATGTCTAATGACATTTTTGGTAGTAGGTGGCCATTTTGAAAAATGGCCGCCATTCGTGTGTTATTTAACATTTTTTACTGTAAGTCAAAGAGTAGTGGAGCGATTTTGTTCATATTTGGTATGTCAATGCTTTAAAGGGTGACGCATATCGTTTAGCAAATCGAACGCTCGTTTCTTGTGTTGCTCACCGTTTAGTATAAAAGGCCCGATCCCGGAATAATACTCAAGGGTTCACAGGTTCGAGGTCGTTGTGTCAACACCTCTAACTGTTATATAGCATAAGTATATTATAGATCGTCACACATTTATAAAAGGGTGATTTTTATTTTGACAAATCAATTCCACATTTATGGGTGAAGTTTCAGGATCTTCTATTTGTGTACAATATGGAAAAATTGGCATCTAAATTTCCCCATAACGTAATAGCACACAGCTTGGCATATGAAATATCCTACAAATGAAACAAAGCAAGACAAACCGGTTTCTAATACAAGGATTTATATTGGCTGTTGTACATGTATTCTTTGAACGCAATCACTCTTTGGATAACGTTTTCAAAATCATTATAAACGGATTACTTTATCTCAAAGACAATTTCAATAAACTGGATTTTAAGAACTCCCCTTATTTCTTAAAAATGGACTGATCCAGTTGATTCGCCTGGAGCCGCCATATTGTTTTTATACGGGATGCTAATCGGAACCCTTTAAGCATGGGACAATGTCTAATGACATTTTGGGTATGTTATTTTACATTTTTTACTATAACTCAAAAAGTAGTAGAGCGATTTTGTTCATACTTTATATGTGAATACTATAAGCATGGCACACGGTCTAATGACACTTTGGATAGTAGGTGGCAAATTTTGAAAAATGGCCACCATTTTTGCCTTTTTTTACTATAACTTGAAAATTATTGGAGCAATTTTGTTCATATTTTATATGTGAATACTCATGAGCCTAGCACACTGTCTCATGACACTTCACGTAGTTGGCGGCCATTTTAAAAAATGGCTGTCATTTTTACATTTTTTACTATAGATATTGGAGCGATTTTGCTCATATTTGATATGTGAATACTTTAAGCATGGCACATTGTCTAATTAAACTTTGGGGAGTAGTCGGCCATTTTAAAAAATGGCCACCATTTTTATGTGTGTGATTTTACATTTTTATTATAACTCATAAAGTAATAGAGCGATTTTGTTCATATTTGATATGCGAATACTTGTAAGGATTGCATACTGTCTTATGACATTTTGAGTAGTAAGCGGCCATTTTAAAAAATGGCCACCATTGGCAATCTTTTTATAAGAATTTTATATGTGGCTACTTAAAAGCGTATTACTTCTGATGACAACTTGGTTAGTGATCAACCATTTTGAAAATGGTGGCCTTTCTTGTGGGTGTTATTTTATGATATTTGCTATATATTTCGTATGTAAAAATGCCAGCCATTTCTGTCCGATGGGATTTGCTACGCTTTGGCGTTGCCGTTGTTCTGGTTGGAAGCTAATTTCAATTTCTGAAAAATCTGATCAGATCTAGAACTTATTTATTTATTTAGTTAGGTATAGCAAGTGATTTGGGAAAGTCCTATCTTTCTCCATGAGTACTTTCTGGCCATAAATACAGTGGTTTCAAGTGAAGTCCCCATAATAGTAAAGATATTAATCCAACTCTCTGAAAAATTATGGATAAGGACCCCACTCACTTTTAGAAAAATATTAAGCTTATTTTCTAAAAAGAGGATTTTTATGTCCCCACCACATAGTGTGGGGCCATATTGTCGGCCTAGGCGCGTATGTCCGTCCGTTCGTCCGGCAGTTTTCTCCAAAACAGCTACAGATATCACCTTTAAATTTTCAGGGATAACTTCTGAGTGCGTCTAAATGTGGATAACAAAAATTTAACTCGATACCTACTTCCTGTCTGCCATTTTGAAGTCAAATGCTTAAATCCTTGTCTGCAAACTTTAAGAAAAATGGCTTCACAGTTGCTTTTGAAACTTTAACATCTTGTTCAGCTCACTTCATTCTACATCTTATCAGGTTTTGGACCTGTTAGCTCAGTCATGTCAGCCATTTTGAATGTTTTAAGAACAGTTAGCGCTCGATAATACTTTGTATCATATTGAATGGTGTTTTTCAGTTTTCATACTTTAACTATTTAGTAGCTTTATAAATAATTTCAGGTGTACTTTTTTGTAAAAGCCTATGTTATTGTTAACAGTAGTTATATGTGATAATTTTGTATAAAGAAATCAGCAAAAACTCATAATCACTTTTTTATTGTCGGCCATTTTGAATTTTTCCGTCCTAAAATCCTGTCTGTAAAGTCTTGTCTACGCATTTTCAGGTGAACCGTTTGGTAGATCAATTTCAAATTTTCAGGGATGATTCTTAGTATGAAAATCTAGATCTGATTAGTTTTTGGGCATTCTGGGTAAATGTCAAGGCAGCCATTTTGGATTTTCCGTCCTAAAATCTTGTCTGTAAAGTCTTGTCTACGCATTTCCAGGTGAACTGTTAGGTAGATCAATTTCAAATTTTCGGGGATGATTCTTAGTATGAAAATCTAGATCTGATTAGTTTTTTGGTATTCTGGATAAATGTCAAGGCAGCCATTTTGGATTTTCCATCTTAAAATCTTGCCCGTAAAGTCTTGTCTACGCATTATTAGGTGAACAGTGTGGCAGATCAATTTCAAATTTTCAGGGATGATTCTTAGTATGAAAATCTAGATCTGATTAGTTTTTTGGTATTCTGGATAAATGTCAAGGCAGCCATTTTGAATTTTCCATCTTAAAATCTTGCCGTAAAGTTTTGTCTATGCGTTATTAGGTGAACCGTGTGGTAGATCAATTTCAAATTTTCAGGGATGATTCTTAGTATGAAAATCTAGATCTGATTAGTTTTTTGGCATTCTGGGTAAATGTCAAGGCAGCCATTTTGGATTTTCTGTCCTAAAATCTTGTTTGTAAAGTCTTGTCTACGCATTTCCAGGTGAACCGTTTGGTAGATCAATTTCGAATTTTCAGGGATGATTCTTAGTATGAAAATCTAGATCTGATTAGTTTTTTGGCATTCTGGATAAATGTCAAGGCAGCCATTTTGGATTTTCTGTCTTAAAATCTTGCCTGTAAAGTCTTGTCTACGCGTTTTTCGGTGAACCGTTTGGTAGATCAATTTCAAATTTTCAGGGATGATTCTTAGTATGAAAATCCAAATCTGATTCGTTTTTGGGCATTCTGGGTAAATGTCAAGGCAGCCATTTTTGATTTTCTATCCTAAAATCTTGTCTGTTAAGTTTTGTCTACGCATTTCCAGGTGAACTGTTTGGTAGATCAATTTCAAATTTTCAGGGATGATTCCTAGTATGAAAATCTTGAAGAGATTAGTTTTTTGGCATTCTGGATAAATGTCAAGGCAGCCATTTTGGATTTTCCGTCCTAAAATCTTGTTTGTAAAGTCTTGTCTACATGTTTTCTGGTTAACTGTGTGACGGATCAATTTCAAATTTTCACGGGTGGTTAGTATGAAAATCTAGAACTGACTAATTTTTTGGCATTCTGGGTAAATTTTAAGGTGGCCATTTTGGATATTCCGTCCTCAGATTGTGTCGGTAAAGTCTTGTCTACTCATTTTTAGGATAACCATTTGACGGGATCACCCATAGGTGGGGACATTTTGTACACATTTGTGTTCTTGTGTTTTTCTCAATTTAAATATATCAAAAGCTTCTACACTATATTAACAACTTCTGTAAAGTGAATGGGAATTGGAATGCGATATATTTAAAAACCCCAAATCCCATGTTATTTTTTGCCATAGGGAAAACTCGTGCTGTCCATTGTTTTCAGCATGATTTAGGTCATCGAAAATTGATATCTTCAAAACTAGTCTTTCAATCTATCCTACTTTTTTAGAAGTTCTAGACCCCTTGTTCAGTTAAATTTTCATGCCCTAATCATAATTTTTCGAATTGTTTGATTATTAAGATTTTTATCATCCTTGAGAATTTACCTGAAAGATAACATATTGTGTTAATGAAATGTCATATTTGAATTGAGAAAGTGCTCATGGTGAAAAATATGATCGTCTAAACTCACTTGCCATACTAAACCTGGTCCTTTACGAGGCATGTCCTTTTTCAAAACCGTTTCCAGATATCCTTAAAACAGTATGCTAAAATAAATCAGAACTGTCCTCTTTTCCTTGTCTCAGTCCAATCTTCTCCTTTAAATCTGTCGCTTTTAAACATATAACAGAGAGCTGTATAATTAAAATGAAATAGATCTTATTAAAGCTCAAATTATTCTCTTTCAGGATTTACCTAATGCTATGAATGCTGCCGAAATAACTGACAAGTTAGGCCTGCACCAACTAAGGAACCGTTCATGGTACATTCAGGCCACATGTGCCACTAGTGGAGATGGATTATACGAAGGACTAGACTGGCTGTCAAATACATTAAAAAAAAGCCAAAACTAACAATTTGATCACTAGATAATATTGGGGCAAAGAACACACACCGGGGTTATAATCCAGTAAAAATTCCATTATTTAAATAACTCAACTTTGAGAGACAGAAGTGGCGTGTAGGGAGATTTTTTATACTAAACTTATTATGGACTGTGGACGTGCACTGTGTTTATCATCTACTGTCAAATGACACCACAGAGTCAAATGATGCAAAGGATAATAACAGTTCCAGATAGGGCCCAATGACAGTTAAGCAAGCGCATGATAATCTGCATACTGAACAAATTGGTTTAGATTTGAGGTGTAAGATAACATACTCATATTGCAATTTTTCAGGTGTAATATGTTAAAAATTGTCTGGTAAAGTTTTGTCAACGATTGGTTTCATATGCTCCTGAGCTTTTGAGCTTAGCATATAAATTTCTGTATTTGTTATTAATTCAGTGCCTTTCACTTTTTGCAATAGGCCTACCCAAGCTTAGGCTTGAACTCCAAATCTATTATATTATGATGTGACTATCTGTTTATTCATTTGGATTTGGGCAAATATTTGATTTGGCATAATTTCCACATACACCAAATTGCCAAATTCAAATTAGTATTCAATTAAGAACAAATTCAGAATGGACTTATTATTGTCAGTATGTATATGTATTGTGGGTTGAATTATTTGGAGTTTTTAACCTATAGCAGTATTTGTATTTTTTCTTGGTTAAAGCAAGAACCAACAATTTATTTGAAAGAAACTACTTTATCAACTTGGCTCTAACTATAATATTCCTATTAAAAATAATGTACAACAAATAGCGTCTGTATAAAGTTGTTTGAAAATTGTGAAAATATAGAACAAGAACTTTCTATATAAGCTGAGGAATGCCTATTGATGTAAATGTGGTGCGCACAAAAAGTATACTCTTCACTTCAGCAAAAATTCCATGAACGTACCATGTCTTTTGTTCTTAAGTTCAGATCAATCACTTGCAGAAAAGTTTTATGATGAGTCCATGCATCCATTGTATTTCTCAAAACTTCAGATGCAATTTGATAAATCTGAACTTGTGAACATCATCCAATTAAAGGGCAGTGTTGTTGCAATATTAAGCTTCATGATTTAGCACCATCTATCATGACATAGACCATGTACATTCTCTTCAAAGTTACACGTTGCAACATAGCAGATTGTATATTAGGGATGTCAACTAGAACTATAATTATTGGTTGAACTCTGGAGGTTGTACAAATTCTATATAAAATGTAGCTGTTACACTGTAGCGTATAGTTTTTTGTAATAATATCATTATTATGAAACTCCATGGAAGAAACTATAAAATATTATGTACAAAATAGACTATCCTGTGTTGTTGTGTTAATAACTTTGGTAAACCAGTACCTGTTGATTGTGATACGGCATAATTTTAAGTGAATAATGCCAGGTGTAAGTAAAAGTGAGTTAGTATGTTGATAATGATTGCAGTGAGTTTAAAATTGACATGATTCTTGTTCTTATCAAGAATATCACATTAAAAATTGACATGATCCTTGTTCTTATCAAGAATATCACATTTATCCCATGCTTATTTGCAAAATTAATTAGAATTATGATTTCAGAACTACAGCATTTAATTAACATTCTTAGTTTATATATAGAGAGCTCCATGAAGAATCCCTATGATACATGTAACATCATGAACATCTTGACTCCTTCATTAGCTTTCAAGTTCCAATGACAGCATGATAGTGTAACCCTGGTAATATTCACTTGAGATTATGTTTCATGTGTAATTTTAAAGACCATATGTGTATATCCCTCCACAGAATGTTCACAGGTGCTACATTCAAATTATTTTAATATATTAGCTCTTTACTAAGCAAAGACATAATATAAAGACAATGGTGCAGTTGATTGTTGATAGAGATGTGGTGAAATCATTTTCTAATGATACTCATTAAAATTTGGTCCAACTTCTTGCATACAGTACACCATTATCGCTACATTTCAAAATTCTGACAACTTTTGTAATGGAATTAAATATTGGGACGACCGACTGACTGGGATATTGATTGCTACAATTAAAAATGATTCTGTTCAATCATTTTTCCAAACCATTAACCATTAGCTAGTCCATGCTACGAAGTCCCCTTTTAGCTGTTATCTGTGCAGCCAATAAGGAAAGAATTATCACCAGATAACTAATAAACTGTTGGACTGTAGTGTACATTGGTGCCTTGTACATAGTACTTTACATGTATATTTTACTGTACATAGGCCCTATAAATACATGTATGTATTTTTCTTGAAAGAAGTCCTCATTCAATTTCCAACCTTCTCCATACCAACAGCCAGTATAAGCAACAGTCAGTATGCAGTTATGATACTAGGACCACAGAAAGTTGTATCAGAGAGAAAATGTATAGAACATGATTGGGGCTTGCCCCTTATCACAACTGAGTATTTCTAAAGGCTGAAAGTATTTATATTCATCTCGATCCAATTGAAAGCCTGATATCAGTGAATGGAAGTGTACACTTTTAAGTAAGACTTCTATATATAGATGGCAGATACGTCTTTCATCTCTACCTGACGATCCCAAAACGAGGTTCTGTTGAAAAATGGTGGACTAACTGAAAGATTACAACTTCACAATTTTACAAGAATACTAAGTATAATTGTTGGAATGGTAAGTTTTATTACTGCATGTATTGTACTGTTACATAAGTCGATGCAGACACGGTTTTATCACTTCTATGATTTGATTTTCTACCATTCCAAAATTTTAAAAATTTCATTCAATTGTCAATTGAATCAATCAATGAACAGATGAATAATTTCGTACAATTTTGATTTTTGGGTCAAGTTATGAGTCATTGGATTCACTCTTCACATCATAGGCCAAAGGGAAAGTAATTGTAAGCTTAGTTGAATTAATGGCTCAACCATGGACTTGAATCAATGTTTCTTTCGAAACTTACTTCCATATAATTTTACCAGGATTGGAAACGAGCAGTCAGCGCTTTTGGTGCATTAATGCGCCACTGGGGCTTTATTTATAAATCTGAGATTTGTCACGACCCTTTATAAAAAACTCCTAAAGTAATAAGTCACTAGAGAAGAAATTATGGTCCCCTGGGGATTATGGTCCCCTTTCCTTACGGCCCTTATAGGCCCTGACTGTGTATAAATAATAAGGAAAATAATTGTAATTAGGTCACCATATAAATCAATAGAGAGTAGGACCAAAATTTTATAGGACCACCTACCTTTTTACACCGGGACTGCCACGTCTATCAGTGCATTGGTTAAGGTACAGCTGGAAAATAACATTTTGGTAAAAAATTGCTATACCTGCACATGTTATTTTCTAGTACAAAATAAAGTATGAAGGCATGTGTTAATTTCCTTGCTTTTTTCAGGAAAGTATCATTACATGGCTTTGTATAAAAAACCTCCTACCCACGTACCCTCGTACCCACGTACGTGGGTCCTGACCCAGTCTTTAAAGAGTTAAATTTTAAAATGTTTAAAACATTATTCAATCTCAGTTTATCCTGAATTATAGATGAATTTATGCATCCATATGCCTTTATTTATAGGTCTGACATCTCTCTCAGTAAAATAAAATAAAGCCGGAATTGCATAAATGTTCATTATTTTTGAGCTATTTGATTTATGTTTTTGATATGTCGAAATGTTTTTTGTTGATCGGGCAGTCTTACCTGTATAACACATTCTTTGACATTTACATCTACTGCAGACCTAACTCAAATTACATCTAAATTACATATGGACTTATTAGGCATGGACCTATATCCTGTTCAATATAACGTATATAAAGGCAATCTAGGAGTATAACAAATTTCCAATGTGAATATTCAGACTTCTTCCGGGAAGTTTAGGCGGCTAATAACTACACGTGCATGACGCGTGAGATTCAAACTCAATAAAACGTGGATCTGCGCATCGATCTTTGTAACGTTATTTAGATTGTTATAGATATAATTACACTTCATTTATACAAAATTCTATATACATTATGGTAAATTTAAAGGTATAGGACTATTAAAAGTATGCCTGACAAAAATACTAAATATATGCGCTTGGTCGAATTTGCGCCAAGCAATAGATTGGTTGTACACTGTAAGACTGCCCGATCAACAAAAAATCGCTTCGATATATCAAAAACAACACTCAAATTGCTCCAATGAACATTATGCAATGCCGGCTTTATTTTATGACGAGACAGATGTCCGATCTAGAAATAAAGACATATGGGTATATAAATACATCCATAATTAAGCATACATTGAGATAGAATAATGTTTAAAAAATGTTAAAGATTTAACTCTTTAAAGACTGGGTCAGGACCCACGTACGTGGGTACGAGGGTACGTGGGTAGGAGGTTTTTTATACAAAGCCTCATTACATTGTCTTCTTTTGGAATATCTGGTACATGTAAGAGTTCAATGGGAACTCAAGGAAATTCTGATATTTCACACTTTCTATTTTTCCAAGTTTTCTTTCAAAGTTTCTAGACAACACATGAGCTACCAATAACCTGATAAAGAAATTGAAAAAAAGTGTGCTAAATTCGATGCCCCGAGTGGGAATCGAACCCAGCTGGGCTGTAGTAGCAACTTGCTATCAAGGGTCGTTACAAATGCATCTATAATTCATCATAAACTAAGATTTAATAAACTAAGATCTTTAAATTGAACCCTTCAAAGACTGTATCATGTCCCACATACGTGGGTAGGTGGGTATGAGGTAGGAGGTTTTTTATACAAAGTCCTTGTTGGACATATGCTCGCAGTCGTTAGTTAGTTATTCCCCTGGGGCGCCATCGGGTCATTACACATTACAATGCACCCATATGCCTTTATTTATGGATCTTTTATCCGTCTAGTCATTAAATAAAGCCATTAAATAATGATAATAATTAGAGAACTTTTTTGAGATTTAAAAATCTTTAAAATTGAACCCTTCAATGACTGTATCATTTCCCACGTAAGTGGGTAGGTGGGTATGAGGTAGGAGGTTTTTTATACAAAGCCAACCTTAAGTACATAATTCTGATCACATCATCCATTGCCAAAACTCTGAAACAGAAACAGTCAAATGACGCTAAAAGATGCAATTACAGTTATAATTTTGAGTGATAGGATACTATTTAAGACTCTTGTTAATATAGCTGTGCAAGATTTTGAAACAATATTTCAAAGTTGTTTTATTTGTTTAGATGTGAAAGTGTGATGTCTCGCAGTGTTGCATGGAGACGTGTCATTAGTGATACAGCCAGCTGGAGACAGGATGAAGCTAACAATGCCACCATCTACATACTGAGAGAGATAGGACCAACTGGCTTCCTTCTTAAAGAAGATGGAGAAAGGAAAAAGTTTAAGGTGAAAACTGATTACCTGCTTAAGTGAATCAGACAGGATAGAAAATTGCATCTGTCCCCTTTAATCTTATGAAACAAAGATCTACATGTACTAAGCAAAGACACTTGTGTATTTGGGCCATATTGATAGTGGGCATACTGTAGTACCTTTGATTCATAAACAGAGAAATTGACAGCCCCACTGTAATTGCAAACAGATTGTTTATAATACTGTAGATCTGTTGCAGGTGTTACTAGGTGACCCTCACTCGTGTACATGTCCAGTGTTTATGAAGGAGAAAGACATATGCAAACACATCTGTTGGGTGCTCCTGAAGAAGTTTAGAATTCCAAGAACTAATCCAGGTTGGTGATATCTATTCTAGAGGCTGTTGCCATATACTGTAGGCTTGGTGAAAGCTTTAGGTTACTGTCAAATAGGCTAGGTGAAAGCTTGAGGCTTGATGTGATTATCATATAGGCTTGGTGAACACTTAAGGTGTTCAAAAAGGTGTTTTTTCAACCTTTATGAATATACTGTTAAGGGCTAGTGCTGGTTACAAAGTATTTGAATATAGGCCTAATGATGATAGCTAAAGGTTATTGTCACATCTGGTTGGGAATATCCAGCTGAAATTATTCTCATTCTGGTTAAAGGGTACTGCCATCACATTGGTGAATTAAGTTACTCCCATATAATGGTAAAGTAATATAAGCTAATAGAGGATATTTTCAATGTGTTCATAACTGCCGGTAGAAGTTGTTGTCATAGGAAAAGGTTTGTCATGAATAGAGATGATTTACATGCATCATATGTACAGTAAATAAAGACATTATATGAGTTTATTTCTAATGGGTAAAAAACAATAATTGTGTAATAATTAACTGTATGTATTATTTCAGTGACTTGGCAGCTGGGACTTGTTGAGCGTGAGATCAACGAGATTCTGAGAGGTATTCTAGCTAAACAGCGCCCAAAGACAACTGTCTCTAAGCCAACTGTATCTGGAACACAGGAGATAGATGGCAGGCCAGTGCTTGAACAACGTGAGATATCGGAAGATGACGTCTGCCCAATCTGTCAAGATGAACTACTGGAAAAGAAGGAAGCTGTGACATATTGCAAGTAAGTTGAATTTATATTCACCCAGGAATTACAACTATGGTCTTTTAACAAGGTTAGACTTGACTGATTCAATTAGTAGTAATTGAACTGTGTGAAAATTGAATCAGTGCATGAACATAATAACTATGACTGGCTTGTAACCAAATTGACTTATGACTGTATTTTCAGGTTTGGATGTGGGAACAGTGTACATATCAAGTGTATGAAAGTATGGGCAGAGCACCAGAAAACACAAGGGAAGACAAATGTTGAGTGCCCATTTTGTCGAGAGGATTTTGGCCCAATTGAGATTTTACGGAAAGAGTATGCCACAGCTAACACTCGCACTACACGCTCTGAGAAGGTGGATTTGCATCTGGGTGTTACATGTGATGTCTGTCAGGTCTGCCCAATAGTGGGAAAGTGTTTTAAGTAAGTGCTAAGTATCAAGAAATAAAATACAGTATTCGCCGTAATAAGCGCCCAGGGCGCTTTTGAAATTGAAATTCCCATTGTAACCCATTACAAAGAGCGCCCATATATGAGAGAAGTCAAAAAAAATCCCCGGGAATTTCATGCATGGGAATTTTTCTTGCCAAAAATGCCCTATTTACAACGAAAGTGACAGCATATTTTTATAATAATGATATGCAGTGAAGAACTCCCCAGCAGAGCCCCTAGAGGTGAAGAAATTGTTTTCCGCGATTATCTTCAATATTTCCAGTATAGACTGTTAGATATCAATCTAAAGTTATACCTTGTTTTTTTAATTTGATGACAGATCATCATTTTTCGTGTAAAAGTCATGTAAAAGGACAACTAAGGTAGTAAAATGTCGAACCAAATCTCTGAAACTTGATCATTTCCTTCATTCATTATGGGCTATTTGAGATAATACTAGCTTAGTATGATGTGGGAAGCACCCACTGATAGATATTCATCGGGAGGATGCATCGATTTACAAAATGCTTCATGTTTTCTGCATTTAAGTGTAAGTACTCTATTAATGCCCATTATATTTCTTTGGAAATTTGATTTTTTTCTGACATATTCGTTAATACTTGGTCATTCCTTGATATTTCTTGAACTCTGTTAAGCGGGGTGGGCGCTTATTAGGGGTGGGCCCTTAATACAGCGATTACTGTAAATATTTTAGCTTTCAGCCAAGGCTGAGTTAAAAGGATAGTATTCTAAAATGCTTATCTGTTAGTAAGTTGGAGGGAATGTACATCAAATTGTGTGTAAATAAAAGTTTAAACCATGAGATTGATATTTAATTAATCATTAAGAATAGAGTTTAGTGACTATTTTTCACTAATTTGTTGGTTATGCAATCGCATAAAATTTCACAAATCTTTCAGGAAAACCACCAACTGTTCAACTTGAAATAATTAGTTATGGGAATGTTGGGATAATTGCATGGCAGCTATTTTGAATGAACCATAATATTTATCACCGTGTTTCTGCTTTTCAGATGCAACATGTGTAACAACAGTCATATGTGTCAGCAATGTTACTCAGCTGGTGGTAATCATCCTCCCAATCACACATTTGTCTTTCGCCAGAAATGTACACAAAGGTGGCGCACTGCTGTCAAACCATCTGGTATGGCTTTGCCGCATGCTGTCGTAAATAACCTGATGACGCGGGACATCTCAGATAATGATTATGACATGCTACTCCAATTGGATAAGTGAGTTGCTGTTGATTAAATTATTTTTGTCCATGTTATTGTAAGGGGGTTAATCAATAAGTAATATTGGAAGCTTTTTACACAGCTGCAAGCTTTCACTCACCCCTTGCATATTATTTAGGAAGATATGAGTTTTCTTTGACCGATTTTTTAAATTTAATACCGAATTTTTCATTCACCCCTTGCATATTATTTAGGAAGATATGAGTTTTCTTTGACCGATTTTTTAATTTAATACCGAATTTTATGAAATTTCTTTGTACGTTGATAAATTCTCATAAATTTTCATCATTTGATCATTCTTGAACAGAACTGCAAAGATGTCGTTGAATGTATAGGCACGACCATAGCCCTCAATAAATATAATATACCTATTGTGTTTGAATGTATAGGCACAACCATAGCCCTCAATAAATATAATATACCTATTGTGTTTGAATGTATAGGCACAACCATAGCCCTCAATAAATATAATATACCTATTTTGTTTGAATGTATAGGCACAACCATAGCCCTCAATAAATATAATATACCTATTGTGTTTGAATGTATAGGCACAACCATAGCCCTCAATAAATATAATATACCTATTTTGTTTGAATGTATAGGCACAACCATAGCCCTCAATAAATATAATATACCTATTGTGTTTGAATGTATAGGCACAACCATAGCCCTCAATAAATATAATATACCTATTGTGTTTGAATGTATAGGCACAACCATAGCCCTCAATAAATATAATATACCTATTTTGTTTGAATGTATGGGCACAACCATAGCCCTCAATAGATATAATATACCTATTGTGTTTGAATGTATAGGCACAACCATAGCCCTCAATAAATATGATATACCTATTGTGTTTGAATGTATAGGCACAACCATAGCCCTCAATAAATATAATATACCTATTGTATTTGAATGTATAGGCACAACCATAGCCCTCAATAAATACAATATACCTATTGTGTTTGAATGTATAGGCACAACCATAGCCCTCATAAATATAATATACCTATTGTGTTCTGTTGCAGCCCTAGTTCCAACCAACCAAGTAATATTCCAGAAGAGGTGATTCAAAATCTCCCAACAGAGCGGGTGAGGGAAGGGGGTCGGCTGCTGGCCCCTGGAGAGCAATGTAGGGTCTGCCTCCGATCATATTCTGTGGGCCAGTATGTTAAACGTCTACCATGTAGGCATAGGGTAAGATTTAATTGGGATTAAATTGTCAAATTTATACATGTATTCTTCTCACAGTTTGAATCCTTATGAGAAAACATAGTTGTGGAACTGGATTTGTCAAGCAACAGTTAAAAGCTAAAACAATATCATTTATGTTCTCTGTGTTTCTGATATGCTACTATAACATGTATATGAAAACCAGAAATAACATACTATGTACTGTAATTAAACATATAATTTCCAAATCCCTGATTTGATTGAGGCATTATAAATGTATAAAAATTGATGAATTCAAATTTATTTTTAGTTCCACAAGGACTGTATAGACAACTGGTTGTTACATGAACATGCTACATGTCCTTTAGATGGCCAAATGGTGTGGAATCCAGTCACATCCCAACTAGTCAGTGATAGACCAAGACAAAGGTACAATATCTTGCAAGCCTTGTAAAATACTTGGAAATCTTATTAAACAATATTTTAGATAATAAGAATGAAGAAACTAGATTTACAAACATATGATTTTACTGCTATGTAGTTCCCACATAAGTCATAATACCTCTATATTAAAATTTTCAACTCAAAGATCTGTTTTACTCTAGGGTGACCAATCAACAGCAAAACCAATCACCTGCTGCTACTTCTGAACAATCCTCCCTCCAGCTAGAAATCCCAGGAATTGGTGTCGCTCAGATGAATGGAGGGGCACAATCGATACAGAGACGTGGAATTCTACCGCGAGGAAAGCTGCAACAACAAGGTGCTGTGTCTCCAGCAGATGGCAGCACCTTACAGCCTGGCTTTGCTCTCAGTGGAACTGCTATCAATAGTACAAAGTAAGTTCTTATACCTAAAAAGTGGATGTTGCTGTCAGCTTGGCAGATAAATCGTTTGAATGATCAAGATAAAAACCATACTGAGGAAAATTTTAAGTAGTAATGCCCTTAATACCAAAGGCAAAGAACAAATAATTACCAAGACCATTCGTTGATTCTCTTGCAATTTCCAAATATTGATATATTAGGTTATATGTGTAAGCTTAGTTGTTTCATACTCTGAATGGTTGAACATACATATTCAGTCTTATTTACTAGCTGATTGAGTTGTTTACTCACTGTTAGTCTACTTATTTGGCACTATTAAAATAAAGGCAAATAGAGATATCTCCATAAAATTAATCACCCAAAGTAATAATACCTTCAAAATTAATCCAGATGAATAAATAAGCTCTGATAAATTAACATTTTACCCCATTTTTCCAAACATACGGAAATACACTGGATGAAAGATTTTCATTGGGATTTCTGAAAAATTTGGGAAGACGTGAATTGGCGAATTTTTGCAAATTACCATATTGCCAAATTAAAATGGATGCCAGATTAAATAGCGTAAGAGTATATGAGATATTTCATGTGTTATGCCATCTTCATATTACAGTACTGAAGCTGCTCCAGCCATAATGAACAGTCCTCTGAGGATGGGACACGTTACTCTGTCTAAACGTCCACCTGTTTCTCAACGAGGTATCCATGACAGCAGCCCCGTAGCGCCATCTATTCCCCTACCTAGTAATGAGACATTGGTTGTAGGAACAGGAAGGAATAGCGCACCTAGCTCAAGATTAAATGCTCAACGTAGTGATAGTGGTAAGTTAAAGTAGACACATTTAAGTTATTTAACATATTATGTATCATTAAACATTATCATGTATCCATGCACTAATTACTTTTGGGCTTACAGTTGATGTTATTAATAAATTAGAATAATCTGATTATGTTTCTCTCGGAATTTTGATCTTTCCAAAATAATTTTATTTTGCATACTTTATTTTTGTACATCAAATTGCAAGTATATGCGCCCAAGTGTATATTTAAATCTGTTGTTCACTCATTGCTGCAGATAATGAGACTGGCAGGAGAAAGGGAAGGGCAGGCTTGCAACAAGGTGTACGGAGGGCACGAAGCAGTAGTGCATCACGAGCCAATAGGAGCACCCCTACTGCTCCAGATTTACATATTGGCGATGTCAACAGTGAAATCGCTATCCCTTTAGCTTCAGTCGTACCACAGCGTAAATTACCAAATAGTACGACTAAAAGGACTATTAAACCAAGTAGTACCACTAAAAGGACTAACACCCAGCATGTACCCATTGGAGATATTGCATTAACTGGTTCACAAATGTCACAGCTCACTCTCCAAGACTGCTATGATGTCACTTAATTATGCGCATAATTTGTCTTATATTGTGACATCACTAAAATTGATCAGTATTATTTTATTTGTAAAGAATAATGCAGTAATTGCAAATTGATATTAGCTTTTAAACCAAATCCGTCCAGCAATACTGAAAAACAGTATTTTTTTTATTTCTATGTACACATCTTTTATATTTTGTTTGGAATATTTTACATGAAATGTAAGTTTACTCATCTTGCATGTATTTCTCTTACAAACAATTAAATGTATTTATGTGAGTGTGGGCATTAAGATGTGTCTGTGTGTGATTGCCACCCTTTGAACCTCTCTATTTAAGGTTCCAAACTTGGTATGAGTAGTGATAAATGATAACGTATGACCAGGGATTATCAAGGTCAATGTCATGAAAGGTCAAATTCAGAATTTGAATTGTATTTTAAGATTTGCTGAAAGCATATGTTGACGTGATCTTTTTCATATGAAGAGCTATATTTTTTCATTTACTAAATATGCCATATGCTATGAGTAAACACTAGATTTGCTGTAAGCTGTGCCATTTAAGACAAGTTGACTGTAATAATGGTCTTAACCAACCAATTGCACTATAGTTACCTCTATTTGTTACACTTGCTTTAAGCTCATATTTGAACATATGACATATTTATCAAATATGCATGATGTATGCGTTCTTTGAAAATAAATTGAACTATTATGAAATTAGAACAGTTGGTTTATTTCTCATTTTCACACTCCCATAATTTTTGATTCCCGCTTATCTAGCCCACTATCAAGCTTTCCATTCATTAAGAATTTTTGGATATATATTGCAGGATTCAACACTCCTGGAGATTTTCAACACTAAACTGAATGGAAATGATCATTTTTCTTTTAAAAGTGGTGAATACTGGTTAACTAACTTGGACTGATCTTGGATGTCCTCTGACCAATCATACCATTATTAAAAATTAAAAATATTGATTCAACAGTGATTCAAATAATACCCATCTCCTAGTATTCACTCATTCAATCGAAAAAACTGAAGTTACACCTTTTTTACATTAAGAGTTTTATTTCTTTGAGAAGTAATACGTACAGACATATAATGTAAGGAAGGCCTAAGAAATATACAATGTTTGATAATTAGACTTGTGCTACTTTACTTGAATAAATAGTGAATTAAAAAGATAATAATTACAAACAATTCTTAGTACAGTATTAAACCTGTTAAGATACCGGTATATAATATTTGCAATTCATTACTTGCTTACTTTACATTATTCCAAGCAATGAGAGTTGTCAATCCTCTATTCAAAGATACGTCACTGATTTATCAAATTGATAACATCTGATTGACCAATCAGAGTAGAGTATTTATAAATGAGCTAAAGTATTTAAACAATACAAGGAAGAACTTGCACATAATATCAAAGGGATAAAACTACAGTGTACAGCTATAGAATTATTCAGTTTGTCATACTATTCGATGTTTTCATTTACACAGCCAACAATACCAGACAACTCGAGTATTAAAAGTTTGTTCTGGTGTCATACAATTTCAGATACAATAACGTGAATAACGTTTGTCAAAGTGCCATTCAATTGCAATGTTTTAACATTTAAAGCACTGTTAAGTAATACAGTATTAATACAGTACATATTATTCTCTCCTAGGTAACAGATAGAACATATTACATGTAGTCTATTGTTGAATTATTCAATTTGTTCATTCATTAAATCTAAACAGAACTATGTTTAGCTATGTTTCATGATGGACGGGATGGTGATGCAATCTGTTTTATTCCATTTAAATTTTGCTAATTGTGCTCCACAAAAGGAATGAAATACAGGGTGTCCCGAAAGTATGGGACCACCTGTTATGTGTTGCATAATTCAATTTTGATTCTTATTATAAATAATACACCTAATATAACCGTCAGGAGGTAGCAGCTACAAAATATTCAAATGACAAACCATCTCTAAATTGACTAAAATAATATAAATCAGCATATAAACAAATCTTCAATACTCCTTTCAGATATGTGAAATAAACAATTTTGAACATATCGTATTAAGCACCTTCCATATTGCATTATAAATGCACTTTCATAGTATATTCTAAATACTTTATTGCACCTGTTATGCTGAATGATGGCATTAGATTTAGCATTGCACCATGAATACTAGTCTTGCTCAAACCCCTTGCACCCCTCCCATCCCCCGTTTAAAGACCTGTCAACCACACCAAGGGGATGGCAGAGATTTGAAGCAAGAACTACATTAAGGCACTCACACATCAGCGACTTAAAGATATTAGTAATTGCAACTTTTGAGGTCAATTTAAATTCATAATTCATTTAGAATTCATGCGTGCAGCTTCACAACAATGTTGCACCATATTTCAATAACTACAAAATATGAGATTCTTAATTTTGGCAAGCGAAATTTGTTCAATTACATATTGCAGTTTTTAAATGTGTATATCTATATCTACTAATATATATATATAAGAAGCAAAGCTGTTATACATTAGATAAATAAAATACAATATATGACAAATGTATGAGAAAGGTATATGAATACAACGTAATCCTAAATATCATAACGGTATATACTTGTATAACAAATAAATATTAACACAGCCTAAAAACTTCAGTTTTGAAATAGTTAGAATAACAACATTAACATTTCATGTATAACTTAGTCAAAATATAGAATTGAACGTCAAGCACTAATAATATCTTTAATAGTGATGATTTTAGAGAAAAGAGAAACCTTGAACTAATATACTTATTTCAGTTGTATATACAGGGTGTCAATTGGTGGCTGCCCCCCCCCCCCTCCATAGCACTAAATGTTGCACAGTACATTTCAAGAGTTATGTACTGGGAGGTTTTGGATATGGGGTTTATCCAGAGGGAGATATGCATATCTACCTGAGGGACATGTTGGGGGGGGGGGCAAGTGCCTTGAACCCCTGCATAAGCCCTTTTGTTTCTCATTGCACATTTTTGTGGCCCCTTTAAGAGAACCATTCACATCGAACTACCCGAAGCCCATTAATGTCCTACTTATAATTCATAATTTAGTATCTCTAGCATACAATTGATTACTCTAAATATAGGACACTGCTGAATAAAATGTAATAGCTTAAAATGTTTCTAATGATTCAGTGTGTAATACACATACATGTAACCATGGTACTTGCACCCACCAACAGGTGTCACTGCTGCTTACAGGCCAAGGTCGGGACACTGAGTGCCTGTCCACGGAGATACTGCTTCAGCTTAAGGACTAACAGATCAATGAATGTGTTGCGCCCAAGCACGGCTGATGCCGACAAGATTCCACCAAATAATGCACCAGCAAACCCACAAGTCAAGACATCTTGCCCTGGAATATAGTAGATAAAAATTGTTAACAGTGTTTATGGAAATGCAGTGTAAATCAAAAATATATAATTGTAAAACATGGAAAACCCTGTTATCAAGATTAACCCAGCCAACCTATATATTTATTATTCTAAATTATGATGATATATGTTTTGACAAAAGTATCAACTCAATCTCTAGTGATAACTCCTTATGAAGGAATACACTTAAAGCCCCACTATGCTCACTTGATAAAATAATCATTGAAACGTGTTACACACTCAATTAAATATGATACAAAGATTGATTTGCATTAATATTGAACCTAGATACACTCATATAGAAATGAATGGATCTTGTAATACAAACAACTTTGCTATCTTTCATTGACAATGGCAAAAACTTTATACATAAAATGACAGAACAAAAATATTTTTTGATAATTTATTGTAAGCTTTGATGTGGCCAGTTTGAGCAGTTTTTGGTGTCCAATAAAAGATAAAATACTTAGCAATCCATTGGAAATACTTTGAAATAGAAGTAAATCTTCATTTTGCCAAAGAGTGTTGAAAATATGCCTATAGTAGGCCTTTAATATATAAAGTAACATAATTTAATATAATACCAGTGATAAAGAGGCCTGGTATATCAGTCTTTGGACGTAGATGAGCGCTGTTTGTCGCTGAAAACCTGGGACTGTTGTGGGCCATCCCGTAACACTCTCCTCTATTAGAGCCTATGTAGTAGTTGTTGGAAAGTGGGCTGCCAACATTCATATAAGCCAGCTAGAAATTTAGATTGAGGAGTTATTACAACTGCAGATTGTACAAGTAGATAGTAGATGTTAAAGATTGTAAAAGCAGATTGTAGGTGTTACAGATTGTACAAGCATATTATAGGTGTTACAGATTGTACAAGTAGATTGTAGGTATTACATTTTGTACAACCAGATTGTAGGTGTTACAGATTGTACAAGGAGACTGTAAGTGAAGTAGACTGTATGTGTTACAGATTATGCAAGTAGAGCCTATATAGTAGTTGTTGGAAAGTGGACTGTAGGTGTTACATATTACACTAACAGATTGTAGATGTTACATATTCTACAAGTAGATTGTAGGTGTTACAGATTGTACAAGTAGATTGTAGAAGTTACAGATTGTACAAGGAGATTGTGAGTGAAGTAGACTATATGTGTTACAGATTATGCAAGTAGAGCCTATATACAGTTGTTGAAAAGTGGACTGTAGGTGTTACATATTACACAAACAGATTGTAGATATTACATATTCTACAAGTAGATTGTAGGTGTTACAGATTGTACAAGTAGATTGTAGAAGTTACAGATTGTAAAAGGAGATTGTAGAAGTTACAGATTGTACAAGTAGATTGTAGGTTTACAGATTCTAAAAGTAGATTGTCAATAAACCATGATTAACTAGTTTCAACTGCATATGTAATTCTACTAAATGTATACTGCCTTACCCGTCCCTCAAGCTGGGGATAATGCACCAATACTTTTTTCCACATGTTTTGTCCAATAGCATTCTTCAGATCGTCATACTCGTCTCCACGCTTCATAACTCTTTGGTTTTCCCAGGGTTCAAACCATTCGTAATTCACAATTCCAATGATGATGAGTGCTGCCTTATCTACAAGAGAAGTAGAGGTGATGCAAAATGTGATTTTCCCTCAATCTAAAATTAATTGTGTCGCACGATAAACATCACCATTACATACATTGAATGCTGTATCTGCTTAAAAAAGTCAAAATTCACCTGTAAAATAGAAAGTAATTACAAATTGGAGGGTTGTAATTTTGGATCAATCTATTCAATAATTGATAGTGGCTGTTTCATAACATATCATGAATTAAACTTCCTGAACTTCAACGGTTCAACTGTAACTGTGACACGGCCTTTTAATTTCTTAGAATATGATTTATAATACATTCATAATAATACGTAAAAAAGTAATATGAGGTTCATATTTCAAATTATGTATCATTACTGAATGCAGTTCTTCATTCTTTAAAATCGTTTCTGTTACTGCAATTTCAAGTTTCATCATTTTCAGAATACTCTCTTGAACTATCAGTTTTTCACTAACCAGCATAACGTGTCAAACATGTGTCTAGCCTGGGCAATGTGTCAAATAATATTTGACTCACCTGAGTAATGTGTCAAATATGTGTCTCACCTGGGCAACATGTCCACATATTTGTCTCCTCGGGTAAGGTGTCAAATATGTGTCTCACCTGGGTAATTTGTCAAACATGTGTCTCACCTGGGAAATGTGTCAAATATTTATCTCACCTGACTAGTCAAATATGTGTCTAACCTGGCTAATGTGTCAAATATGAGTCTCAACTTGGTAATGTGTCAAATTTATATCTCACCTGGGTAACATGTCAAATATGTGTCCTACCTGGGTAACATGTCAAATATGTGTCTCATCTGGGTAATGTGTCAAATGTGTATCTCACCTGGGTAACGTGTCAAATATGTGTCATCCTTGGTACCAGGGAATGAGATGAACATGAGAGGGCAATCTGCATTCTTAGCATCCTCTTTACTCAGGGCTAGGTAGCTGACAATATCCTCTCCTATGTTCTCACTGTAATATAAAACATTGTAAAAAGGTACTTGCTTCTCTATGTAGAAGAGGCCCAATTTTAAATCTGATCCTAAGCTACACCAACTTTCTACTAAAATAATTTCCTAATAACCTACTTACAAAAAGAACAGTAGCAACTTGAGTGCAACTTGAGTGCTATTATATTACTATGTTAAAATTAAACACAAACTCAGGTTTCTTCACCTGCTTTAAAACAGTGACAGAAAGCATTAGGAAACATTACATTAGATATGGACTAAGGTATACACAGGAAGTTACCAAAATGCGGACCACATAAAAAAACAACAATGTGAATTTCTTATAAGCACACATTGTGTCCCTTTTCTAAGTAGGAGACTCATTTTCACCCCATTATCACCCACTTGTATACAGTGAAAAATATCCGTGGATGTTGTGATGTTGAACACTCCTACGGGAGATTAAGGGAAGGCACAGTGTTCATCAGAGAGAAAACGATATGTCACATTTAAAACTTTGCTCACCTGTCGAATGCCCAATGGTTGTACTTGGGACAACTCAGCTCCTTACTTGTACCATTTAGTCCTATAAAGACACTTAGAAGGGCAGGGCCAGGCTTTGCCAGATCTTTAATTGGTTGGAAATAACCTGCAAAATGGGTATTTGACAAAATCACTATTTTTACTGATGTATGTAATACACAAGTCTAAATAGGTTTATTTTGAGAATAAAACATACGTCATACATTATTATTGAATGGTTTTTGTAAATGAAAAAACTATTCTTTTAAAACAAGGCTGTAGTAATTGTACATATAGCACCAATATTTTTGGGGGGTGACCAAAAAACGCAGTCCATAAATAGAAATGCCGAAACTACCATTGAATTTGTGAGAGTACAATTTCCACTTCGTTTCAACCACAGCTCGTATCTTGACCCCCAAGGCTCAAATTCAGTTTTTATATAATCACATAATATTGCGCAGCTGTCTGCCTTTACTTACTTGAATTGTCTGTAATATGTTTTGGAAGTAACTTGTTGAATGTGTTCATTATCCCAGCATCTGATATTATGTTTGGCGCATGTATCTCAACTTCATCTCCATTCTTCTTAACCTTTACACCTGTTGGAACATTAAAAAAATATAGCAAGGCATTTTAACATGATAAAATGTCGCAATCTGGCTACAATAACAACAGTGTAACACTTACACCTGTTAGTGATTGCTTAACACAGACACAAAATGCCAGTAAAAGACGGTGGTGATGACATCAATTAAAGTAAAATAAGGTTTATAATCATTGAGTCTCTAGGAGTCAACTGGGGAAATTGTATACCTCTCAAAATAAATCAATGTTCACTTATTGAAAAAAACATTGAATGAGACAAGAAGGAAAATGCTATCATTTGTCCATTGAGAGTGTAAATACAGGTTGTTAAGATTTGATATTTAGGGAAATATCAATCAGACAATATAACTTGATAATAAGGGAATCCTATTTGTAAAACAATCATGCATATCAAAGTGAAAAAGATATGTTACCATATGCCTGTCCCTGCTCATTCACTAAAATCTGAGTGACCGGTGCCCTCACTAAGACAGCGCCCCCTGCTGCCTCAATGGTGGGGATCATGGTATAGGCAATCTCACTGCTCCCGCCCTGGGGGAAATAACCACCATCTTGTATAAAGTGGAGCTGCACCATTGAATGGATGTTCATGTTGGTTTCCATTGGTAAGTTACCTGAAATTAATATCCTGATTTTGAGGAAGAATATCAAATGTACAGTTTATTACAATGGCAGATTCTATGTTAACCACAATTAGATTTGGAATTCTATGTTTACCATTAGGTTTGTTCTATGCTGGGCAACAAAGAATATCAATCCTCATTTACTTACCATAATCCCCAAAGTTATAAAGAAGTACTGCCTCCAGTTTCCTATTATTTGTTAACCCTCGAATGATATCAACAGCTTTGATATCTGAGTATTTGAAGATACAAGTCAACTGATCCAGAAGACCAGAGTTGATCAGAAAGGACGTCAGCCACTTAGGGAGCATCTTTATGATCCCATTCCAAGGATTATTCTTCTGAATTTTCTGAAGAAAGTTATAATTTTTTATGATTTTTCTAAATGTATATACATTGTATACTGTAACTCAAACCAGGGTGTGATATAAGCACAAGCCCAGAGGTCAAGAGCTAGCTATTTTCAAAGCCAGCTTTTTTACAACCTCCGAACACAGGCCTCTAGAATTGTAGGAACATAGTGGATGATGTCTGGAGCCCTGGCTTTTTTAATGTTCATAGGAAAATAAAGATGTAACTGATCTAGAGACCTGAATAATTCCATATGTCTAAGCCTGATTTATGCATGTTACATCACAGTTTTTGAGTCATGTTAAAGCATTTAAATGTTTGTACATCATGCAAAGGATTAAAAATCAATGAGAAAATTACTGAGTCAACTGAGACGTGGGTGGGATTTGTACCTTAAGAAGTTGAACATATTTGGTAATTGCTTCCTCCTCTTCAGGAAACTCCTTGACAAGACCTTTGTGGAAGTTGTCAAATCCATGGTGAATTGGAAACTTCTCTTTTCCAACTGTCACCTGAATCATAAAAAAGTTTTTTATATGAAAGACGTGTTTCCCAAGTCAGTCTATAATCATTACATGCTGATTAAGAACTTTCTAAAATTTTTGAAAAGCTTGTGATGCAAATATGACTGTATTTCTGCACGATGTGATACAGAATCCATATTTCATTACAACATTCTGTATCATATACGTTAACAATACATTAAAACAGCATCCTGTTGAAAAGCATTCCAACAACTTTGTTTGACAGATAAGAGTTCAATGATTTCTCATACAATATAGAAAATGGTATGTACCAGAAGTGTGTAATACTAACTTTCTTGGGGACAATGTCTTCTGTACTTTAAGACACATCATGTGATAACTTATACAACTTGTACATAATATTGTTATGTATCATATAAAAGATAAGCTATTGACCAGACATTCCAGGTTGGACTCTGCCTCCAAAAGCCACCATCATCACATGATTTCTACTATTCTATTTCACCTCGAATAGTTGAAGTATAATCTTAATCATGTAAACAAAAGTGTTTATGATGTATTTAGTTATGTAAGAGTGGCATGTTTATATATATTGTTGTTGTCGCATCATTAATCTCAGTGCTTTGCTTAGATCCACTTGTACTCCATTGTTGGATTCACAGCAAGTATTACCCTTTGGAATATGTCTCACCAAATTGCAAAGCATTAGATAAAGTGAGACTCTGATGAATCAGAATGACTTGCATTGTATAAATGTACGACTACAATAAAACCTGTATTTATATACAATAAAACCTGTCAAATGTAAACACCACTGTAACTAGCCAAACGAGTTCAGATTAAGAGGTGTTCACATTTCAAGGTTATTGAAGACAGATTGGAGACATTCTGGACTGAGAAAAAAAAGTGTTCATATTGAATGGTGTTAAGATTAGAGGTGTTCAGATATACAGGTTTTACTGTATATTTGCCAGTGGAATAAGACAATGTTTACATCTAGTTCATTAGAGAAACATGAGTTCACAAGTTCTTAATTTAACGAGCAATCTTCATTCCAAACCATTATTAATTATTGAAATTCAACTACATTAGTTTGATTTACACAACACTCCTAAGAGCTCTTAGCTAAAATGTTTCAGAGTTTTAGGCACGCTTAGAAATGAAATGTAAATTCAAATTTTGCTATTTTGCTCTTATTGCCAAGAAGTCTTGGAAACCTAGTCAAAACAAGATGTCTTGAAATGCAAGATTTCTTACAAGCCAAGTGAAAATACATTAGTTTTATCTTTGAGCTATTTTAAATATAATATATTGATCCAGATGTACTTTTAGTTACAGAGAATAATGAGGAAACGGGGTGGCATCTTGCTTCGAATTGTGACTTTACTTAACAGTTCTTCAGCTAGTAAGTAAAGGAAATGAGGGCAGGCACAAGTTAAATGTTATCCTATTACCTGGTCAAACACAGAGCCTTGATGTCCCCATGTTAATTGGCCCTGGGTGAGTTCATCCATCAGACATCTCAAGTCACTGCCATAGCCCATGTCGCCAATATAGTGGAGACCTGAAACAAAATACAAACTAGAAAACAGCAACTCCAAGGAGTAGCAAATCCCACAGAACAAAACATATCTTGATATATAGCAGTCCTCTAGAAAAATTTTCCTTGAACAGAGGTCGCTTGTTCCTAGGTATCAGCATATAAAATCTGAACCAAATCCATCCACTGGTATTTTAGTTAGGCCATGAGAAGTAGATTCTTTGTTTTGCATCATGGCAAAATCCAAATCATGCAAGGGTACAAGGAAAAGAAACACAAACTCAAGAAAAAACATAAACTTGTTCGCTGAGAAATATATACCTTTTGTGGGCATAAAAAGGGATGACATGCCAATTTGCAGTGATTACAAACATATATCTAGGCCTATAGATTTTATACAATATATTTAAACATAGCTATTATTCAAGGGTAAAAAAATAAGAAAAAACACAATGTATGCCAAAGTAATCAACAACACTGTCAATTTTGATGCACATCAAATTATCTGCCTTTTCGTCTGATTCTGATTGAAGAAATGCGATGCTACTTTCAGACCCTTGTGATTGCTATTTGGATGTGTTTGTTTTTTCTGATTTACTCAAAATCGTGTTAGCAAGGGGAAGCAAAACAAAGAATCTAATTCTTATGACCTTATCAAAGATTACATTTTTACGAAAAATGGCAGCCATTTTGAAATTCGATTGCCATCTTGAAAATGTCTTCTTGAGCAGTGCTTCCTCGTCTCTTCGCATCAAAGTATAAAATTTGAAGCAAATCTCATCTTCAGCAAAGGTCCTTTGTCCCTAGGCATCAGTATATAAAATTTGAATCAAATCAGTCAATTTGCATTTGAGTTATCAATGATTAGGCCATAAGAAGTAGATTCTTTGTTTTGCGTCCCCTTGCTTGCACGATTTTGAGTAAATACATCCAAATAGCAATCACAAAGGTCTGAAAGCTAATGCCATCGCATTTTGTTCAATCAGAATCAGACGAAATGATGGGTAATTTGATGAGTGTCAAAATTGACAGTGTTATTGATTACTTTGGCATACATTGTGTATTTTCTTATTTTTTAGCCTTGAATAATAGCTATGTTTAAATATATTGTATAAAATGTTTAGATATGTATTTGTAATCACTGCAAATTGCTATGTCATCCCATTTTTGCCAATTAAATGTAGGCTATACATTTCTCAGCAAACAAGTTTGCGGGCAAGTTTGTGTTTTTTCTTGAGTTTGTGTTTGTTTTCCTTGTACCCTTGCATGATTTGGATTTTGCCAGGACGCAAAACAAGGAATCTACTTCTTATGGCCTTATATATTTTTACGAAAAATGGTCACCACTTTAAAATTCAGTGGCCATCTTTAAAATCTCCTCTTGGGCAAGAGCTCTTTATTCCTAGACGGCATCAGCATATAAAATTTGAACCAAATCCATTCAACTAGTATCTGAGTTATCAAAGATTACATTTCTGACGAAAAATGGTGGCCATTTGGAATTGAGTGGCCATATTGAAAATTCCTTCTCGAGCAGAGGTCCTACACCTATAAGGCATAAGCCATTAAAATTTGAAGCAAATCCGTCAATTGGTATTTGAGTGTTTGCTTGGACACACGTACGGACGAATGAACAAACAGATGGATGAATGGCTTTCCTGTATCCCCTCGAACAATCTCCTTTGAACTTCATTTGGTGGGATAAGAATACTCATTTTGAAACAACTTACTCCCTAATTCATGTTACTGAAATACCATATCCACTCAGAATAGTATAAAATAGTTATAAATTCGGCATTAGGCTACCTGTGAAATATTTATAAATCCTTTTTTGGGGTGAAAGTGCATATTTTAAGGGAGGGTTGTATAATGATAGTCCCGACACTGTCCCCCAAAAATCAAAAATAAATGCATCATTTTTAAAACAATTGATTTTGAGTTATTATAAAAGTACATGTGAGTCAAAATCATCACATGACTCAATATATATAGGGTGTTTTCATAAAAGTTATCAGATCAAGTGAATTTTACCACAAACACTTGACATAATCAATTGAACAAGTAATTCATTCTTAAGACTTCTTAAGATAAAACTGAGGTCTGTCATTACAGTTAAACATCAACTAGTTTACAATAATTCTGATTTGGTGATGATGTTAATCAAAAATAAATGTCTGTTATGAGATAAAAATTCTTATAGTGGTAAATTACTAGGGAGCTTGTAAAAATCTTTAAGTGGCACTTGTGAAGTGCATGTAGATTTACTGTAAGTGGATTTTGCCATGTCACCAGCATGTGCCATGTCATCCAAGATTGTAACAGTCACGTTTATAAAAATCTACTTTTACGAAAATCTACTTTTACTTCTTTTATGAGTGCATAGACTTCTACTCAATTAGAACTGAATGCCGCTTATGTTTTTTTAAAATAAACTTTGCCAAGTTCAAGTTCAAACACAACTTGTGTACTTTTGCTTTTTTTTATTATAAAATATCAATAGTTAGTTTTTTTTGTTATTATTGGTAGTCTCAGCATTATTATTCATTGTCTGATTTTTATTGAAAGAGCAGTTATATTATTTGGAATCGAGGAATGTGTAAAATACTAATTTGTCAAAAAGTAAATCAGAACAAAACTAAAAATAGATGATACCCATAGTTCAAATAATCATCACTTCTGATGAAATAGTACCATACTTTTAATACACTCTTTACTTAATCTAACGATTCTGAACTCTGATAATTTTGAACTTGTCAAACTTGTTGACCTGGCACTTATATATAAGTGATTGTTATAATTATATCATTATGTCTCTCATAAATCAAATACATGATCAGAAAACATGAGTGACAACATTGGGAAAACCAAAAAAACAAATGAACTGAAATATTTTTTCATATTTTGTAATCAATATTTCATATATGTTAATCAAATATAGGGTTAGAGTTATCAAAACAATTTTCTCTTTACTATATGCATGCACTATGAAGAAAATAACATGCAAAACACTTTCCAATAATGTTAAAATAATAGCTGCCATGTTGTGTAATCATAATGACTAAATAACATTAATAACTATATAAGGGCAACATTTGGAAAGCAACATCAAGCAACACATACAAATAATATAAAAATTCACTGAATCATTTTAATTTGTAAAACAGTCCAATATTTCAGATATCAGAATGACAAACCTAAAGAGGGTGTGACACAAAACATAAAGCATATCAGAAATCAATATTCTAATTTGACATTATACAGTACAGGTTTAAAAATCTTTTGACATAAGACAGTCCTGTTTGCAAGTAAAAAATGTCTGGCATGTTAAAAAACACGGTGTCAAACAAATACAGGGTGTCAAATAAATATCTTCTCGCCTCAACTTTAACATCCACAAAAGGTTGCATTTTTGTCTGTATGATGTCTGAATTGTTCTAATAGCACCTTAAAACTAGGCTTCATGGAGCATCGCTACAAGAAGGTTCAGATGACTAGCTCAACTAGATGCACTTTTATGCACATAAGTTCATACTCTTGAAATCAAAGGGGAGAACATATTTATTTGACACCCTGTATACCGGAGATAGAAAGGTTAATTTATGAATAAAATCATGTAGAGGCAATAACTAACAAAAAATGAGATGTCATGGTTTGTCATTGTATTGTATTTTGTTTACCATCAATGAAGGTGAGGAATACCTCTTGGGTATATCCCGTTGTGGACCACTCAGTCAAACACCCTGAAGTACTTTACGCAAACAAGCAAATCAAGTCTTGCCTGAACCGGGGATCGAATCCAGGACCTACTGCGTAAGAGGTACCTGTGCTACCGCTGAGCTATACGAGTGTTGAACAAAACATTCCAAAAGCAACTTTGTGCAATACTGAAGTTCATTCATATCTGAGGAGGCCTATTTTGAGACATATGTTAACAACATGATTGTTAAACAGTACAAGCTGCTAATTCACACTACTATACCTAACACCTAGAAATGCATAAGATACTTTGTTTGTCTAATTGAATTGTTTAATATATTTTTGAAAGTGCCTTACTAGCATCTAATTTTCAACCGATAAACCATTCATAAGGAACAGACAAATAAAAACAAATACATAATCATTACTAATAAGCCAAATGGGTTGCTCATGAACACCAAATGCAAGGTATAGTAGTGTGTAATTGCATTCATAGTTCATACAGACATGTTTTTAAGGCTCAATAAAATAATAAATAAATAATTCACGACGTAAACAATTAATGCATGCACTTTGCAAATAAAATCTATATACTATTATGTGCTATTGGAAAGCATACATATGTAATGTACCCCAAATAAATCAACTGTGAGTAGTATGCCTTTATTGCTCTCATGAACAACAGGGCAATGTATTTTAACTTTGAGCTGTGACATGACAGTGTGATATGACATGTTGATACACCAAAAGGTGTGACATAACATGCCATGACATCACAAGGTGTGACATGACATGCTGTGACATGAAATGCCTTAACTTCACATGGTGTGACATTACATTGTGTGACATGACATGCTATGATGTGACATGGTGTGATGTGACATGCTGTGACATCACAAGATGTGACATGACATGCTGTAACATAAAATGCCTTGATTTCACATGGTGTGACATCATATTGTGACATCACATGCTGTGACGTGACATGGTATGACATGATGTGACATCAAAAGTTTACAGTGAGCCAATCAGATAATATGATTATAATAGACTAGATGTGAGTAGAAACAATCTTGATTTATGTCATCAAATATTCAAAATTCAGTCAAAGTGATGTCATATTTGAAATCTACATGTAAAAAAACATCCAGAAATATAGTTTGGAAAATTGTTTATCAACTTTGAAAATTTAAATTTTTTTTGAAAATGTGACTTATTGTTCGGGGAGATTCCCCATAGACCCCATGTTACAAAATCACAAAAAGTGAAATATTTTTTCTTGAATTGGACAAATAACATTTTCTTTTACAGTAAAACCTGTGTTAGTGAAAACATCTCTCTAGTGAACACCTTTCAACAGTGAACATTTTTTTTTGGCAAAACCTTTTTCCCCCATTGACTCCCATGTTAAAGTACAATCCTATAGTGAACACCTACCTACTGTGAACAGTGAACATTAAATCTTGGCAAATTTAATTGAATTATCCTGTCTCTAGTGAACATTGAATCTGATACATAAGATTTTTTGCGGATTTTCTGCAACTGCCTTATCAGAGTTAAGCAGTTAATGTTTATATTACCTGTCAAAAATAATTATTAAAAGGTCAATTTGAGATTTTGATCTCTTGTATTGAAACAGGTGTGACTAATTATAATTCTTAGTAAGCTTTGTTTTTGTAAGGCAGGATATGTGTTTAGCAGTGTCTAGAAGCATTGATTGCTTTAATTGGAGATAATCTGGGGGTCATTAACAGAACTTTCGCAAAGTTACGAATTCGCAAGTCAATTGTTAATTTTACGAATTTGGTAAATATGCATTAACAGAACTTTCGTAAAGTTACGAACGATTCGCAAAGTTACGAAAAAATGACGTCACATGTGCTTTCGTTCGTAACTTTAATAGCACCTCAGACCCTTTCATAACTTTGCGAATGGCATATTTCTCATCCAATTCTTATGTAAGGTATACAGGTTGGCAAATAGAAATTGTTCTTTATATGCATGCTAAGTTTCAAGCTAAAATATTCACCTATTCTTACATGATAAGCAAATATGTTCCTGAGCTGGGAATCTTTGAAATCGCGGAGACAGGTTTAATCACAGCGCGCAATGATATCAAATGACATCATATTTTTATTTATGCTAAATAATAATATAAGATGACGTCACAATTTGAAATTCGTTTACGAATGATAAAACTTATGAATGACTTACGAAAGTGTTCTGTTAATGGCCGATTCATATTTTTATGAATTCGTAAGTCATTCGTAACTTTTTAAATATTTACGAATTTCATAAAGTTACGAATTACGAATTCGTAACTTTGCGAAAGTTCTGTTAATGACCCCCTGGTTAACTATTATTACCTCTATCTCTATCTGCTAAGTCCCAACTAAATCTTTTTCTCATCTCCATCATTTTAAAAACCAGATAAGGTTAAAATTATAAGATCATTCTTAACTGACTCCATCTTGTAGTTTAATTAATTCAATCAAGTCCTTTAACTGACTCAAATGTGTTAAGAATTCCACTATTTAAAGAATTATGAAGAGATTAAAATTTGACAATAAAAGGATGAACCATTCAGGCAGTCTAAAATAAGTTAGTTTGTACAACACAACAAAAAAACAAAAATTTGTTGCAAGTGTCATGGGTTATCATAGGTATAAAGTACAAATTAAATCAGTTATTCCCTCCTCTATTATTTAGGCTCGTTTAATAACTGGTCTCTGGCAAAATGCCGCGAAATCAAATCCTTGCTGTAGTGAACACCTACCAATAGTGAACATTTTTCTTCGGCAAAAAATGTTCACTATACACAGGTTTTACTGTACTGGACATATTTTAATTTGCATAACTATTAGATACATAAGGGTGATATGAAAATTGAACTACTAAAACAGATGTAATTTAAGTTAAAGGGAACTTTCTACTTTATCCGCCATGCTATCTGACCCGAACAAGCCACCTGGTGGTGAAACTGGTAACTACCTCCTTTCATTTTATATCAGATCTTTTGTAATACACCAGATGAGTATTAATTATTACATAACCGACCTAGGCCAGCAAAATCATTGCAAACAATATAACAATATAACTTGTGCTGTAAAAATTTCATAGCAATATATTGTTTTACACCTTGTGAGATGCCTTATAAAATGACAAAATATGGTAGTAACGAAGATGCATTTTTACTTACCAACATCGAATTCGAAACCCTTATCAATGAATGTATGACAGCATCCTCCCGCCTGGTCATGTTGCTCCAGTACAAGAACTCTCTTCCCAGCTCTGCTGAGAATCGCTGCACTACCAAGCCCACCTATACCACTGCCAATCACTATTGCATCAAGATTTTCAGGAATCTTCTTTGAAGTGAAACCTATAATACACACAATTGCCAGTGATTTACAACATATTTCATGCAAAATAAAAGTATATCCAAATGTAAAATGTTCATGTCATAATGTCTTGGTATAGACTGATCCTACATTATGTGTTACATCATCATCTGGCATTGTCATTGGTATTAGCATAGTGCCTGTTTTACCTTGTCATGTTAACCAAATTTTTTTGATATTCCATTTCTGATACGTATTGCTAGATCAAGACACAAGATCAGATGCTCAGATAACAGTAAACAGTATAGCCACAAATTTCTAAAAGACATGCCCCAAATCTCCTTTCTTGGCTGACCTTGGGCTTCCAATTGTGTGGGGGAAACCGATGAATCCAAATACTTTTCTGCAAGTCTGTGAAGAAGGCATTTGTGCTAATGTTCTTTGTATAAAATACAACTTGCTTTAAATAAATCTTATCTTACACTTCCCCACCTATCTGCCAACTAGGGAGATAACCATTGAAATAACTCAAGGCACCTCCAAGAATCTGTAGCATAATAAATCAGAAACTGGATATGAAAGGAAATGTGCTAAATTCAATGCCCCATGCGGGAATCAAACCAGGACATTGAGCTCCAAAGTTTGATGCTCTACCGTTTGAAGGAAGGTTCCTTTCAATTTTAAAATGAGTTGTAAACCATAGATCTATTTTTTAAATGTTAAGGTTTTAAATTGTATTTTATTCAAATTCTATCACTGTTTAATTATACGGAGAGGCTCCAGGACCGACAATTGTCAGTACTGGAGACTGTACAGTGGGTATTTGCTGGGGTACCGACAATTGTTGGCACTCTATCGTCACCTAGTAGCACAGGCCCCAGTATCCCCACACCACCTTTTAGCAGTCGGATTAGAACGATCTAAAGCCCTTTAAAATACACCTTTTGAGTTCTGAACAACTAATAAGAAGATCTGCTTGCTTTGCTTTCAGTGTGGGGATACTGGGGCGTGTGCCTAGTAGGCCCAGATAGAGAACCGACAATTGTCGGTACACAAGTGCTCCTAAATGCAACAACAACACAGACTGTAGGCCAGTAAGAAATGCTATATATTCTAATGAAAAAGAGAAACATGATCATAGGTCTATCTATCTTTTAATCTAAATGTTTAACTATAGATCTGTTAAATGGGCTTATTAGCCTTTTGCAGATTATTGATGTAGTACAGAACTTACCCTGCTTCAGTCTTTTATCTCTCACATTTTGGTTTGTCTCATGCGGCTTCAATGGAATAGTCTTGCTGTTGACGAATGGATTTGTAGGTCCTATAACTCCTCCAAAATAACATACTACCAACAAAATCAGTATTAAACATACCAAAGAGAGAGAAATTAGAAAATTGTTCCAGAGAAGAGAGAACACCTGTGCAGAAAAAGACATTCTAATATTAGCTGCCCTTAACGCGAAATTTCAAAGTAGGAATTTTTTGCGCAAAATTATTTGCAATGTTTCACATTGAAGTAAAGCTTCTAATTAGATTTTTATCCTTTCACATAATCTTGGTGTATACAATAAAAAGTTGATTATTATTTGATATTGAGGCATTGTTACGAAAGGCATGATTATCTTAGTTTTCCAATTTTGCGATTGCACTATCATCACAAAATGATTTCTCGAAGGTTTTAGCCAACGAGTGGCAGCTTTCGTTCAAATGAAAACATGTGAAAATATATTCTGCATTCCGTTATTTACACAATTATGGCATTGTAGATTAAGGGAACAGGTAATTTCAAAATAATTAACAGTATGAAGCATTGACCCAATTGTTTTAAAAGATTTTTTATGATTACTGGTAAGAAAAGGACGAAATAAGCCCTATTGACCAAAAGTTCAGAAATTATTTTGAAAAAACTTTTCACTTTCACAGATAGGATGTAGTCCAACAACATTAGAGCTAGCCTGTGGGGCCTCGTTTCTTATCTGACATATCTTATGGCCCGGCTAGGTCTAACCTCCATCATCATTTTGGCATAAGCGCTTAAAGTTAGGTACAACAGAGGTTACTCGAGTCTCTAGCTTACAGCTAGACGAAACTTCATTGATTTCGTATGTACTGTGCTATACGCACCTACACGCACCTAGAACTCATTTTTAATAAATTTTATAAATATTTTTAAGAATATTAATCATATTTAGGAGGAAGCGTTGCTTGTCTGGATTTAGATATTTCAAAATTTCATTTCGGAGTTTGACACATGGTGAAATTTTCTCGCTGTAGCTAAAAATGGCTTCCGGTTCTGGACGTGAATAACATTTGAAATTATTCTCGCTTAAAGAAATCAAATATAACAATAGATTCAGACGGGGATGTGAGCTGATGTTCTTCAAATCTATACATAGAGGTATATTTCATATTATTATGCCATATTTACTGTGCGTGTGACACAAGGATTTACAATATTTATAATACTAAGGCAGCTCAATCTTCCTCCTCAAAGCCGGAATATAGAGAAGGCTTTGGACCGAAGTAAAACAGAGGCCTCATTATCATCTGGTCGCAAATAGTTGCGTCTGCGATGCGATTGCGATCGCAATTCGTAACGCATGCGACGCGTGATAGTATCAATTGAGCGCAATCGCAGATGCAAAGCAATCGCAAAACAATTAAAACGTAAGTTGCGATCGCAAGTCTAGAGTGTATTTTGGCGCGAAATTTAAAAGGACACTGGCGCTAGTTTTTGACATTGATTGATTAAAATTGATAGAAATCCAATAATTGATATGATTTGATTGGTTGCGCATGCATTACACTTGTGCAAGACATAAGTGCGTCAAAATGCAAATCGATTTACATTGAACAGACGGTAGTCGAAGAAACATGTCGAGGGCAAGGAATTGGACAAATGATGAACAAGAATTATTAGTATCTCTCATTGAACAAATTTTTGTGGCTCCATATTGGTGTTCACTGTACACAGGTTTTACTATTTCTTATGTATAAAACTCTGGCAATTATAGCATACGCATTTTGAAATATAAAGACTTTATTGTATACCATCAACAGATTAAGAAATTCAATATGCTCCACGTTGGTGTAAGACTCTTTAACTGTGTAAGACTCTTTAAATTCTATGAGTGTTTATAAGTATTATCACACCCTTGGTATACAAGGGGTGTATCCTGAGGGTGTATTTGAGCTATTTTATAGTTTGATTAATACCAATAATAAATATAGATAGTGTTGTTTATGAAAACTTACCAGGATATGCACCATTGCAACAATAATGGGACAATTATGTATTTCATGAAGTGCCATTACTACTTTGCTCTAGCACATTGTTGTCAATGTATCATTGATTAAACAAAATCGTGTTTTGTGTTGAAAGCAAACAATTATAGAGAAAATCTACCGAGAAATTGGTTTAAATGGCAAATACACGATGTCTTTGAGATATGCACTCGATATTATGCGTTTCGAATTGTCAGAATCTTTAAAAACATACTGTACTCCGGGTAAATTTCAACGCTATAAAATTTCGCAATTTTTCAAAATTGCAATTTCGTGGCTATTTAATTTTGCGGATTTGAGTTGATGACATTTCGCGAACTGCACAAGTTGAATTTTTTCCGATTACCGTGAATCAATGCATATCTGGCTATTTTAGCCCGTTCAGAATCCGATTAATGTTTGTATTTCCCACGTTTAGGGCATTTATTTGAATATTCTTGAATGGCTTTTTCAACTTCAATTTGTAGGATATCATTGTTGTCAACAGTTCTTGCCTTTGTTGGCCTAATAAGCCAATTCAAAATGTTAGACATTTTAGGCCTTTTTTGAATTATCACCAAACAACACTAGACGAAACGTTTTACACCGAACGTAACATATCAAAAGTCCCGTTTCAAATCCCCGGGGATTTAAAAGACAAATTTCGCGACGATAAATGTTCGCGATTTTACTATATCCGCGAACAAAGCGAAATTAAATCGCACGCGAACAATACCCGGAGTACAGTAGTTAAAAGAAAACTACATATTCTTAACTTACCTTGCCATAATAGTAACAACTTCTGTAATTATATTGGAAACGGATGGTTGGCTAATGCCAAACGTATCTCCTGTTGACATTTGGAGTTGTCCAGTTGCCAGGAATCTGATAGTGATCAACATTTTTAGAAACCCCGGGATGAAATGATTGTTCCTACTCTTTGGTGTCAGTTCGTCTTCAAAAAGGTTTATAACCTCTATTAACAATGCTCTCGGCATTCTGTATCTCTGGAGCATCTCGATGTCATTTACTGAATCGAGTGGGTTAAACCTATCTCGAAATACTCTTCGGCCAATACGATTGTGGTGATCCAGAATGAAATGAAACATCTTGGTGTTCTTGTACTTTTGCAAACGATGTAGGTGAGGCACTAGGAATACTCAGAACATTAGTGTAGTAGTGGCAAGATTAATTCACCAAAAAAGCTTTATTAGCTAGATAAATATTTAATTGGCGAAAATCCTATGCTCCAAAGAGCACGAAATATTGCAGGCACCAATCTAAGACATATACATTATGTGATGCGTTCGCAATATTAGAAACAAACGTGATTTTTAAGGATTTACAGGCTCAATTAAATGTATATTTTAATCATATTAAATAAATAGAATTGAACAATTTCTTCGATACTATTGATTAATACTTAACAGGTAGTGAAATGACCGATATAAAACACCACAAAATATCCATTAACATAGATAAAATAACGCTCAAAGATGAACTAGATTTGCGATTTGATTTGCGACAGGGAAAAGGCGTCGCAACTTTTTGTTTAGTTGCGATCAGAAAATCGATAACTTTGCGTCAGACTTGCGATGCGATGGAATGATAATAACATTTTTAGGAAATAGTTGCCTTGCGATGCGATTCACATGCGACTTTGCTTTGCGACCAGATGATAATGAGGCCTCTGGAAAACATTTTGGTAAAAAATTGCTATATACAGTGCTGATAGATAATAATATAGGGTGCGTTTTCAAACTAAACAGAGTGTTCCTACCAAAATGAATTTGCCTACATACCCCTGAAACTCTTATCCGATAGATAGAATGTGTTATGTATCTGGTTTCAGTACTGGTCATTAAGATATCTGATACCCTTAACTGAGATCACCATGCCTATAGCAGACACTTGTAAGTCTGGCTTCCTACTAGAAACACATTAACTATGTAGTTCTTATATTATGTTTGATGTATAATAAAGTCTTGATACAAAACACAACATGATGTCAGATGTGGTCTCACATGAATAAGTAGATCAGAGACATTAACAATGGCAAGTGGATACTCAAAGATAGTGAAGGAATTAGACTTTTATGGCCCTAATCTCTCAGAAGATTGGAAGAGATGGAGAGAACTTATTGAATTAATGTTTGATTCTCCTGATGCCACAAAATGGAAAGAGCAAGAGAAAGCCGCTCAAATTCTCTCGAAACGAAATCACTAGAAAAAAACATGGCACACATTGTGCGCATGTGCAGCAAAGTTTAGACCAATTAGATTACTGTAGATTGGGTTAATTTGGCGCTACTTAATTTGGCGAATTTGCCATTTTTGGCATATTGGCGGCTATTTAATTTGGCGGATTTGATAAAAAAAATGTTAATGCAATGTTAAACATACGCGCTGTTTGCGAATAACCATGTAAATGAGCATGTTTGGATATGTTCATTTTTTCTTTTGAGGACCACTGGCGATATTCACCATGTTTGTACATTTTTGTGAGATCATCCTTTACATTTTGCACCTCGATCGATGCTGCTACTATACCGTGCTTTTCCTTTCTAGTTTTCCCTGAGTATTAATGAGTAACTGACCAGTTCTGAGCCAATTTATGAGAGACATTTTTTCATATTTTTGGAAAAAACTAAACCGAAAGTGACCTCAATACACTGGACGAAAGACCCTAGATAATTCCCGGGGATTCATTCTAAATTTTGGCGAAGATTTATATTGGCGAATTTTTCAATTTCGCCAAATTCGCCAAATTAAAGCGGGCGCCAAATTAACCCAATCTACAGTATTTGATTATTTTGCGCACATGAATTATTTGCTTCTGAGCAAGAGGGGGAGAAACCCCAGGGTTCAAAGATGACATACGCTTATAATGTAAATCTGTATTGAGATGAGATCGTCGCTGATTGGTTTAGCGAGTCGATCGTTGATTGGTTTAAAACTAGGTCAATTTGAAAACTTTGAAAACCAAGATGGAGGGTTAGTACTTCCGGGAAAGTAGGTGCGCGAAGGAGGAAATCGTATGTCATCAATTGAATCATGGGGTTTTCCCTCCTCTTCTTCTGAGCACTTACAAGCTTACCACAATAAACAAACCTGGCAGAGACTACCCTTAGCCTACTTCATTTTGGAAAAGTTTCAGCTCAAACTCGTGACAAATGCATTATGCATACGCTGGTGTGAAGCCTTGGAGACACTCATTTTGGTAAATATGATTTATGGGGTATACTTTTCTGCAGTTTGTGGGAGT